ATTAGCTTAAAAAATGAAAATAGAAAAAACAGAATTTTTAACTCAATTTTGTTGCTAACAGTTATTGTAAAATCAATATTAGAGGTCAGATCAACTTTGGAGAGGACAGAATTTGGAAAAGGTCAGTTTTCAAGGGGTCAAATTTAGAAAAAAAAAAAAAAAAAACATTAAGCAATAAAAAGCAAATCAAATAATACATTTGTGAAATGAATGACAAAATTGGTTTCTCAATAATTTTGTATAATAAGAAATAATTTAAAATTTTATGCATTTCATTCAATAAAACAATCACAAAAAAAAGCAATACAATTTGCTATTTCATATTTTTTACTAATTATTTGCTATTACTAAGTTAATTATTTGTTATTGCGATAAACTCAAACGATTATATCACAAATAGTTCCAAAAGTTTTATATTTTCAATTCTTTCATTCTTTCTTTTTGATAAATTTTTTTTATGTTTATTAAATTGTTTTAAAATAATAAATAAGCTTTGCAATGCTTATAATCATTTGAGAAGCTAAATGTATTCCTTCGAAATATTTAAACGAATAAATGACAATAAAATTCTGAATATTAACTGTAAACATCTGACATTTAAATTCATTTAATCGTCAACTAATTATTTTGAGTTCATATTATGTTCGAAATATTTTGAATCTTTTAAAAAATTGAAAAACAATTTGGTTTATTTTCGGAAATATGAAAGCACATAATATTGTTTAAATAGCATAACTTTAGCTCTTGCAACTTCAATTTGCATTATTGATAATATTAAATACATTGATAGAATTTGTTGGAAGTATGAGATTCAATGTTTTCAATTTCTAATATTTATTTCTTTCATCCAATCATATTTGTCAGAATCTAAGAAAAAAACTGATATGATATTATTACAGAGGAGACAGTAGTCCTTTAAATCATTTTGTAAAGGAATTTTTCATTTTTTCATTCACTCTGATTCGAATAATTTTTATAAAGTTACATTATTTTGATGTCAATTGCTAAAATTAATTAATTTTACGGTTGCATCAAACTACTTATAATACAAATAAACTTAAATATTTCATTCTTTTGTCTATAAAATGTGTGAAATTGTTGAATTAGTTTTTTTTTTGGTTATTTCTTTATTTGTTTGACGTGATTGGAAGGTTTGAATGATTGAATGAATGGTACTTAGGAAAAGAGTTCCACATGGTTAGAATTAGAGGACTGGTCACTCCATCTCTAGTGGTCACTATTAGATAAGATTGATTGTAGCAGAGATAAAGAACAATTTTGTTTACCGTTAAATGCCCCACTTCATTTATCCCGGTGATCCACAAACCGATAGATCTGATCCAATGGAATTCCTGGAAACGTCACATAACATGGCGCCTATTTTTTAGCAACGCCCTCAAATTTCCCTATAAAAGCAGCCAATCTTGGTATCGAAGTCATTCAGTTACCAAATGATTACCTTCTTCCGTTTCCTGATTGGTCCTGGATTACCTGGAAACTCCTCAAGGAGCGGTAGTTGTATCGTCTGTGATATGTTGTATAATTGGTTGTTGCTCACATCACAGACCCGATGCAGCGACTGCACTTGTGCTACTCCCGAGATATCCCACACCAAACTACTGCTAATGTCGAAACTGTAGCTATTCGGGATAGTCTCTCACGGTAGAGCTTGAAAATCAATTTGCTCACCGGAGACATTGTTCCGCATAGGTACGGTACATTTCCGTCTCATCTACACAAATTCTTGAAACCTCAAGCTGAACGTTGATCATACTTTGACTTCATTTTCATACAATAATGAGTAGATTGAAAATCGTTTCACTGATATCCCAAAAGATTCTGAATGTAAAAAATAAAATAAAAAATCTTGAATGTTTCTGAAATCTTGAAATATCCCTAAAAAGTCTTGAAAATTATCCTAAATGTAAATAAAAAAAAAAAAAAAAAAAAATTATCCTATATTTGAACAATGTTTTATCATATCTATCAACATAATACCTAATAAAATAGTTATGTACAATTAAAAAAATCAATTCAAAGTAAATAATGAAAAAACAATTTAAATAGCAATTGCCATCGTTTTTTGGTACTTGTAGGATTTCATATTGGCCAATAAATATTTATGATATTAATCACTAATTTGTTTTCCAACTATGAATATAACATTTAAAAAGCAACAACAATACAAGACAAAAAAAAAAAATTTAATTTAAAATAAAGGAGAAGGATGAAAAGTTTTATTTTCAATTAATCAAAATATTATAGAATTCATAGCGTTCAAAGTATTGTTAATATATTGTATGAGATTGTTTTATGCATTGCAAATTTGAACAAACTTTGAAAATGAATTTATTTTTAAAATGAATGAAAATACAAATGAAGCTTATCAGCTATTAAGTAATGAACATTTAGTAGTGCTACAGTATGACATTAGCTATTAGCTTTTCAATGCTTTCTGTTATTAGCTAATTTCTCTAAAGTTACATCATTTTTATGCATGAATTGTGCACATGTGAAATAATTACTGCAACATATTATGAAAGGTAACATAAATGACAATTAAGGTTTTTTAAAAAAGAAATAAATATTGCAAGCATACTAGTAATCATTAATTAAATTAAAATTACAAGTAATCATTAATTCATAATTGAAATTATTAATTTATTAGAAGAAAATTATTTTGTTCAGAAATTAAAATAAAAGTGAAATTAGATCAAAATGACAAAAATGCACACAAAAAATTGAATTATTATGAAATATGAGAAGAAAAATTATTTTAAAAGAATTTTAAGTACTCGCAAATAAGCAACAAATGTAACCAATTGTGAATTTTAATCTAATTTTACTAAAAAAAAAAAAAAAAAAAATAAATAAAGAAAAGAAGAGAAATCTGTTCAATAAAAATAGATCTTTAATATAGTCAAATTTATTTGAAATTAATCAAATTTATTAAAAATTACGCCTACTCAATTCTATTTTCACTTCAGCCTTTTTTCATTTTAATTTCATATCATATGATTTTTATTTTTATTTTTTTAAATATTCAATAATTGGGTCACTATTAATCGATTTGCATTTGTTGACAAAGACATATCCAATCGGAACGATACAACATCGATTATTGAATATTGTTTTATTTATTTTTTTCAGGGAAATTTAGCAAAAATTATTAATATATATATATATTTTCCAAAATATCATTCAATAAAAGTTTTAATATTTTGTTTTTACACTCCAAAATTTCTTATCAATATCACAAATGTAAATTTTGTAAATATTATTGTGGAAGAGAATTTCACTCATTCCATCAAAAACTGAATTGAAATATTGGTGAGAAAAAAGTGAAATAGTTAATTTAGATAAAAAATAATTAAAAAAAAAAACTAAATTAATTAGCAGTTCAAAGAAAAAAAAAAACTAAAATTAATTGGTCAATTCGTTACCATTTTTCCAGCAGTCAATAAAAAATGGACGTAATTAATAATATATTTGCAATAATTAATTAAATGTAATCTAAATTGACTACTTCCTTTTCTGATTTCTTTTGCCATTCAATATTTCATTTCAGTAATCGATGAATGACATAAATGAAAAATTTTTTCTTTTTTTAAGGTTACTTCAAAATGCAATAATATTTCCAATTTACATTTTATAGATAATTAGTAAAGAGATTATTAGAATAGGAAAAAAAAAAAAACAAAAAAAATTACAAAATTTTTCAAAATATTATTTACAAATATTCTTAATATTTTTGTTTCTCTATTATAAAAAAATTTTTTATCAATTATCATAGATTGAAAATATAATTGTATAATTTACAAACTGAAAATATATCGGTCATAAATTTCAATTATTCCATCGATTATTGAATTAAAATATTGTAAAAAAAAAAAGTTAAATGGTTAATTTAGCTCAAAAAAAAAAAAATACATAACTAAATCTTTTTCAATTGAAAAAAAAAAAAAAAATGAAGTAAGAAAGAATTGAAGTGATGAAAAAAAAAAATAATAAAATGAAATTTATTCATTTTACATTTAATAAGAGTTAAAGTCAAAAAGCGTTTTTGTATGATTTACAGTATACCAAAACTATTTCAATGAAATAGTAAAGAGTGTCGGTCTTTTGAATAGTTATTCTGCTCATGATAATGATTAGTAGTGATAATACAATAATATCACTATAGTAATGATAATAATAATCATTGTTATCTTTACTATCATATACCAAATATACTTAATTCATTGAGAGGCGGTTATTAAAATAAAGCGCCCTTTTTTTTTTTTCTATTTACTTTTTCTGTTTTCTTTTTCCCCTTCTCATATGAACACCTATTCTCTCTCCCTCTCTTTCTCTTTCTCTCTCCCTCTCTCTCATCATCTTTACCTAAATTATTGTATAAAAACATGTAATTTCTAATAGTCAAATCATTCATTTACTCACTCGTTTGTTCGATCATCCATTAAGAGTTCTCTTCTCTTCTTCCCTTCCCTTCCCTTCCCATCCTTCGGGTTATTATCCCCACCAATTGTTCTTACTCCATTTCACCTCGATGAATGTGATTTTTCCTTTTTTTCTTTTTTGCTTAGAAGAAAAGAAAGAAATATTATTGATAGCAATTCTATCGACTATGATCTATTTACATATGTATATATACATATATAACATCATAGTATCAATGCAGCAACCTCTACATGTACTCTGATTTACCCAAATTTTTACCCTTTTAGAAAGAAGTCCGAAACTTTCACCCTTCTTTGGATATTTTGCTTATTACATAGGTGATGTGATATAATAATTAATAATTATGATATAATTACTGCTAATAAATTTTATAATTAAATTAATTTATGATTAAATTAAATGCATACATAAAATATTCGTTTAAAAGAGAGAGAGAGGGAGAGGAAAAGAAAGTCTGTTTTAGGGAAGTAAATAGTAATTAATGTTTAAATTTTTGTCAATTCCGATTATCAATTCCAATTCCATAATCTTTGGCCTAAAATACTATGAATTGCTACGATAAAGGATAGTAATCCACAGTTGCGCTTGAAATTTATGAAATGCACACTGGGACTACTATTCTCTTTAGTAGCAATATCAATTATTGCGTTAATTTATCACTGGTTTATCATCTGATAAAACTCCTGTATATCATTTTTGATGATAATTTTAATCTTTCTTTGACTCTTCTAGCCATATTTGTGAAAAAGCCTTCCTCGACAATGCTACGATATAAAATATATTAATAAAGATGATGAAGAATCATTGTATCGTAACAGTCAATATTTTACAAATTACAAATACTAATTTATTTTTTCTGTAATGCTACAAACAATTATGTTTTTTTTTCTTACATGGAAGAAATAAAAGTGTTATTTGGATTGATCCGGCTTGTGTCCGGATTGTTGTAGAATTTTTAATCAAAAACATTGATATGTCAAAGTCTAAAATTTACACTAGCATTTGTTTTCGGATCTTTTTTGCTTCTCAAACTAAAGCCAATCAGATTGATATCTCTTTTTGACATATCAATTTTAACTTCAACTTTGTGTCTAGCAATAGTTAAATTTAAAAAAAAAAAAAAAAGGAATTGCATTTGTCATATTTTTGTTAAATTATCATATGAAGCAAATTAAACGATTTTAATACAAAGAGTGAACAAAACATGAATAATATAATTTTGATTCCATCAAAGGCAGCTACGATACATTAAAAATAAAAAATGCCAATTTGTCTCTTTGGGCTTTTTTTACTTTCAAAATAAAAGTAATCAGGATGATATTTTGTTTTTTGCTATATCAATTTTAACTTTAATTTAACCTTGTTTAGTAACCTTGTCAATTAAAATTTTAAAAAATTCGAGGATAAAATTTTTACTTAAGAATAAATTAGAAATTTATAATGTTTGATTGAAACATTCTCATATATATTGCACAGTATTTTGTTATTGCATCTTTTTTCTTTTCTTGAATTCAAAGTTAGGCGAATTGGGCAACTTTAAATATTGGTCACATTGCCGCCAATATTTGGAACTTTCATTGGTTGTTGAAAAAAGATTTGGTTGAGAAAAATGTTTACGCTAAAAAGTTTGCCCCTCCTACTGATCCACTAAACGATCTATGTGATCTGATCCAATGGAATTTCTGGAAACGTCACATAACATGGCGCCTATTTTTTGGCAACGCCCTCAAATTTCCCTATAAAAGCAGCCAATCTTGGTATCGAAGTCATTCAGTTACCGAATGATTACCTTCTTCCGTTTCCTGATTGGTCCTGGATTACCTGGAAACTCCTCAAGGAGCGGTAGTTGTATCGGCTGTGATATGTTGTATGATTGGTTGTTGCTCACATCACAGACCCGATGCAGCGACTGCACTTGTGCTACTCCCGAGATATCCCATACCAAACTAATGTCGACACTGTAACTGTTCGGGATAGTCTCTCACGGTAGAGCTTGAGAATAATCAAATTGCTCACCGGAGACATTATTCCGCATAGGTATGGTACATTCCCTACTCATTAACCTAACTTCTTGGAATTCCTGCAACCGTAACGAAATACATTTTATCATTCATTGATCAACACTATTCAAGTTTGAAATATCCATTCATCTATCGCAAAACTATTGCGGTGTCTTTTCAACTCATTTGTTACACCGTAATGGAATCATAAAGTTTTGCACAAGGACTGATACTGGTAGAAATCCTGGTTTTTACATGGAAACAACCGAATCCAATCGGCTAACACTCTGCATATTTTACATGGAAATAACCGGATCTAACCAGTTCTCATTTTGCATAAAAAGAAAAAAAAAAGCATTTTAAATTAAATTTGCAAAGGAAAGTAATGAAAATTGTGGATTAAAACAGCAAAGAATAGCAATTGATCGATAATTTTTGAAAAACAAAACAAAGATTAACTAAAAGAAAAGTATGTATTTAATATTATGTTTATCAATCAATGCATGATAGACTGTTGGAGCAAATTATGCAACGACGAATGAAAATTGTCCTTTGTCCCCACCCCAACTGCTATGGGATTGGTTAGTTGGCTAATTATCAGCTAGTTGGATGTTGATTGAATTGAATGAATAAAAATTCATTAGCCTCTTTGTTTTTTTTCCTAACAAATTCAAGCTGTAATTTCATTTCCTCTCTAAAACAATTTCTTGTTCAATTTTTTTAATTATAAATATAAAATTTAACATATACATAAAAATTTCACAATAATCATAAAGCAAAAGCTGAATGAAAATTTTATTATTATCATTCGATTCATTAAAAAAGGATAAAGTGATTTTCATTCCAGAATTGTTGCTTATTTATTACAAATTTTGATTGGATAGTTATTTAAGTAAATTTGAAAATATTAATTCTTGGCATTGATATGTCAATAAATTCTTTTTGTAAAATATTATACACAGGTCATCCAGCAGATTATAATCTTTTTTGATTCATTTTATTAATTTGAAAAATTAATTTGAAGACGAATTGTTATTGATTTTTTTCTTTTTTTTTTTTTTTTTGTTCATTAAACAAAAAGAAAAATTCTGAATCGTCAAGAAAATTCTACTAAAATTTCATTGCTAAATTATGTATAAGTTTATACAGGAAAGTAAATAATCTGAAATTTTTGCTTTAAATTAGTCGAATATTTTGAAAATATTTGCACTGCGATAGATAACTCAAACAATCGATGTTTTATCATTTGAAAGAAAATGAATGTTTATCAATAAGAAAAGAGTTATTAATTGAAATAAAGAAAACAGTAATAAATTGATTATTAATTAAAGTTTTGAATTTTTTATGATCTCAGTTTATCACACCTAAAAATCACATAGAGAAATAATCAATTCATTGTAGTTGCAACGAAAATGAAAATATTCGATCAATGATCTTTAATATCAATCGTTAAAATGCAAATAAAATATTACTTTCTGTAATGATTGTTTCTGAATTATATTAGTTTACTGAAAAGTTCAACTCACATTTTAATTTTTTTTTTCTTCTTCACTTTTTTTTCTGTTAACTAGAAAAATTTTTTGAAACAGTTCAAAATTTTGTTAAATTATTAAAAAAATTGTATATTATTATAAAGCAATATAAGTAAATTTTGGACTAATTGCAGATTTAATTCTATTTATCAACGCTATAATATGTAATTGAAGTTTCAATATGCCATGATAATAATTTTAAAACATATTGTGGACTTTTTTTTTTGTTAAATATGCAAATGTTCACGAGGATATTTTGACATTTTGGTTGTTATTAAAATTTTTGAATGGAATTGAATAATTTTTAAATTTATAATCTCAAACAGAAGATGACTTAATGTAATGAATAATGATGCATATTATGCAAAAAGATTAAATTTATTTAATATATCAGATTATTTATTTTAATCTAATTATAATTATACAATAAAATAAGCAAAGACATTCAGTAAAATTAAGCTAACATAATTTGTCGCAAAATTAAATTATAAAAACTAAATTAAAAACCAAATTAAAGACTGAATGAACTGAATTGCAATATGTAGAAATAAAATGTACAAAATTGAACAAAAAAATTATTTTTTTTCAAATGTTTCATTCTCATTTCACTTTTCAATTGTAGCTAAAACTTTGTTTACACTGTTAACAATGATTAATGTATTTAAATTTGTTTCCAATTTAGATTGTTTACAAGATTATTAGATCTTTATTTGGTTGTACTTCTTTTATTGTTTGTCAGTTTTTGCATTAACTATGAATTATAATTGAATTTAACAAGGTAGTTTTTTGTTTTTATCTAATCTCTTTTGAGATTTGTTAATTGGTTAGACAGTTCCAATTGTTGACAAAGTTTACAAACAACAGTATTTGGTCTAGAAATGATCTCTTTTGAGATATATTATTAAACTCTTGATTTAGTCTAATTATCTTTATCATAGTCTATTAAAACTTTAATTGTAGATATATCTTAATTATTGTTCTATAGCGCTTTTTAAATGTTTGTTATTACTGGGTATGTTTTCTTTTAACAAAATTTTTGTTTTATATTTCTTACTATTTTGCTGTGTCCTTCAATTACTTTTACAGTTGGCACTAAATTTTTAATTACTCTAATAATTTTGGTACCGATTTTTTAAACAGTTATCTTTTACTTTATAATTTTACTAGCATAGAGATATTAATGGTTTTTCCTTTAATGTCCTTAAGTCCAATTTTTTCGTTTTTTTGAAAGTTTTATTATTATTTAGTTTTTCTGACTTTTCTGTTGGTTTATTTATTTATTTTTATTATTGGTTATATGTTTGATGTTTTTGCAGGTTAGTTATCTATTTTTTATGTATTTATAATTTGTTTTAATTGTAGTCTAAAGCATTACGACTATTTTGCTTACTCGTTATTTTTTCTAAGTTATAAGTTAATTTTTACAAGCTACTTTGTCTAAATTATAAGTTTCATTCTTCCTAATAGTTAATTAATATTCATTGTTAGTGAATTTTTTCTGAAATCAACAGATAACAATTTGATCAGTACTGCATGCGCTTATCCAATTCCATTCATTTAAATCATTTATTTATTTATTTTTTCCTCTTCACTTCTTATTTGTAAATAAACTCTCTGAATTTATCAATATGTTATCAACATAGCTTAATAGAATGATTATTAGTAAATAATACTAACTCCAAACTATAATCAAAAAACAGTTCCCAAACAAAATTACAGAGAAAAATCTCAATTGAAAAAGAAAAACAAAAATACAAAACAATTTGTCATATTGTTGTATTATCAATGAAAGAAACATTTTCAATTTTAACCTTAAAAAAATGATTCAAAAAATTGTTCAATTATCAACAAAAATTATCCAATTAACATCATTTATCTTTTAACATATATTAAGTAATAAAGTTTATAATTATAAATTGTCTATGAAATTGTAAAATTAAAAGAAAAAAGCAGCTGATATTATCAGATTATCTTTTGACAAATTTCATCTTTTACTTGATATAAAATTATATATATATATATCCTCATTTGGATAATTACGAAAAAAAAAAACATTACTTTAAAATGCAAATCAAAAATGATAAAATAATAATTAAGCAATAAATAAAATTATTTAATCATAGATGGTATAATTTAATCAATGCTAAATTATTTTTAATACAAAAATGAATTTCGCTTTTCAATTTAATAAATATTGCTTTAGTCATATTATTAACATCAAATTTCATAAATATAAATTTAGATTACTAATAAAGTTTAGATTTTAAATTTTTAATGAAGTTGCAAATAATTTGAAAATCAACATTGTCAGATGAATAATGACAAAAGAAACAATACTAATTCTTTAATTCTAACCTTGAAAATACAATAATATCTAGTATAGTATAGAAAATTCGACAAATTTTGTTAATCTTGGAGAAACCTATAAAAAATATACAAAAATGTAAAATAAATAAAAAAATATAAAACAAAAAAAAATAAAACAAAATTTAAAATAATGAAGAGATCTGGATTTACCAATCTAATGATATTAGTAAGTACCTTTTTGCTATTTTTAATTAATCTCATAATGCTTAAATTTATTGCTACAGCCGAATTTATGATTGGAAGAAATATCGAAAAATGATTAAGCATAAACAAAGAATGTAAAATAGATAAGTGGTGAGAAGGAGAAATGAGGAGAAAAAGGAAGATGATGAGAAGAAAGAAAGAGATGGATGACGAGGGATCGATCATTTTAGAAATAAAAATTTGATGATTTGCAAACAAAGAGTATATTTTGCTATCGGAGAGGGAAAGTAACAAACAAATAAACAAACAAACAAAAAATTATTCGGTGCTAATAATGATAAATGATATGGAAGAACGGGAAAAGATGATTTCTAAATTTATTTATTAATTTGTTTCTTCGTTTTTCTTTGATAAATACAAAACATTGCAATATGCTCTTTATTTAATCTTTTTTTTTAGTATTTTAATCAGTGAAACTTGCAATTACTGAATGATTAGATGTTAAAAAAAGAAGAAAGAAATTAATATTTTGAAGCAATCAGTTTACACATATTGAATTTTCATTGTAATAAAATTTTAGTGGTAATCCTCAAAATTAGTGAAATAGAATAAATTGGGAAATTATGATAAAATAATTTCAAATCATTTCTTTTTATAATCACAAAAGCATTATTTGCAAAATAGCTTTTATTTATTCATTTTTTGGCATAAAATTAAAAAAAAAAAAAAAAAAAAAACGATGAATTTAAAAATGAAATTAGAAAAAACCAAATTTATAACCCAATTTTGTTGATAACAGTTATTGTAAAATCAATATTAGAGGTCAGGTCAACTTTCAAAAGTTCAAAATTTGAAAAAAAAAAAACATTAAGCTATAAACAAAAACAGTGGAAAAGTCTTGACGCCTGAAAAATAAGTTCATACAAAAAATGTGTTAAAAAACATGTGGAAAAAAAATTTTTAAAGTGAAGTTAGAAAAACAAAATTAACTCAATTTTGCTGCTAACAGTTATTGTAAAATCAATATTAGAGGTCAGATCAACTTTGGAGAGGACAGAATTTGGAAAAGGTCAGTTTTCAAGGGGTCAAATTTAGAAAAAAAAAAAAACATTAAGCAATAAAAAGCAAATCAAATAATACATTTGTGAAATGAATGAATAAATTTGGTTTCTCAATAATTTTGTATAATAAGAAATAATTTAAAATTTTATGCATTTCATTCAATAAAACAATCACAAAAAAAAAGGAATACAATTTGCTATTTCATATTTTTTACTAATTATTTGCTATTACTAAGTTAATTATTTGTTATTGCAATAAACTCAAACGATTATATCACAAATAGTTCCAAAAGTTTTATATTTTCAATTCTTTCATTCTTTCTTTTTGATAAATTTTTTTTATGTTTATTAAATTGTTTTAAAATAATAAATAAGCCTTGCAATGCTTATAATCATTTGAGAAGCTAAATGTATTCCTTCGCAATATTTAAACGAATAAATGACAATAAAATTCTGAATATTAACTGTAAACATCTGACATTTAAATTCATTTACTTGTCAACTAATTATTTTGAGTTCATATTATGTTCGAAATATTTTGAATCTTTTAAAAAATTGAAAAACAATTTGGTTTATTTTCGGAAATATGAAAGCACATAATATTGTTTAAATAGCATAACTTTAGCTCTTGCAACTTGAATTTGCATTGTTGATAATATTAAATACATTGATAGAATTTGCTGGAAGTATGAGATTCAATGATTTCAATTTCTAATATTTATTTCTTTCATCCAATCATATTTGTCAGAATCTAAGAAAAAAACTGATATGATATTATCACAGAGGAGACAGTAGTCCTTTAAATCATTTTGTAAAGGAATTTTTCATTTTTTCATTCACTCTGATTCGAATAATTTTTATAAAGTTACATTATTTTGATGTCAATTGCTAAAATTAATTAATTTTACGGTTGCATCAAACTACTTATAATACAAATAAATTTAAATATTTCATTCTTTTGTCTATAAAATGTGTGAAATTATTGAATTAATTTTTTTTTTTTCTTTTTTTGGTTTGTTTGATTTAATTAAAAGATTTGGATGGTTGAATCACTGAATGAATAAATAGTATTTACTAGATGAGTTGCAGATGGTCAGAGCAACGGTCAGTCTATCTCTAATGGTCACTATTTAATAGCAGAGATAAAGAACAATTTTGTTTACTGTTGAATATTCGTCTTTATTTATGTCGTTGATCCACAGATCAATAATTCCGATCAAATGTAACACTTAGAGGGCGTGGCCCATTAGGGTACCTTATTTCCTAGCAACGCCCTCGAATTCCTCTATAAAAGAGGCCAGTTGTCATATCAAAATCATTCAGTTGCGTTGCAGAATCACTGCTTACTTCCAGTGTCTCATCACAAGTGTCATCCGAATCGCCAGAAGCCTTAGTCCAGCGTTCCGGATGCATTAACCTAGTACCTGAAGCCAACGAATCAAGTCTATTGTGTTCCGGAAGCGTCAGTTCACTATTCTGAAAGTGCAAGTAACAGCCGTTGTATCATTTGTGATTTATGTTTTATTATCGCTTATCATATCACAGAATTGATGCAGCGAGCTGTACTTGTCGCAATATTCAGAAATTTCTCGGTTATTGATGAAACGGAAATTTTTCTACAAAACTTTATTTATGAGGAATAGTCTCCCTGGATAGAGCTTTAAAATAATTAATTGTTCACCAGAGAAATTATTCCACACAAATACAGTACCATTCCTAATCATTGCTTCGCTTCTTCGAAAGTTTTATTTTGTAACCGTAATCTTCTGCTAATGCTCATCACCCTGTGAAATGCCAATTATTAATACTACCTGAACAGAAGCAGTAAAAAATCAATTTTCATCATTCTTCATCCTCAAATTTAAAAATCCAAAAATTAGCATCGGTAACGGTCGCTGCATCGTCTGAGTTATGCGGTTGTTTCTTGTTTTGCATATCGCAGAATCGATGCAGCATACTGTGCTGTGTGCTTATATCACATCAGTTACCGGTTTCAAATTACCATAACCGGTTTCATCTTCCCTTTTTTTTTTTTTCTTTTGTAACAATTTTAGTTTTATTAAATTTGCAATGTTGCAGGTTACACCAGGAAATATACGCCTTGTATTCGAACAATTTACTTACGGATTGTTTTGTACTATTTTCTAGAGATTATTATGAATTGACGATTGTTGTAATAAATTTACTTATATTTAAAATCTAAAAATTGTTGAAATTATTGGACATGCATAAAATAAGGAACTAAGGTAAATCCAAACCTTAGAATGTAAAATGGTGTTGATAACTGGCAGTGACTATACAGAAATTTTGTATTTGTAAGGCGAAAATGTAGAGAAAATAAATCGTAAAACAATCAACTTAAAAAAAATTAACTCTAAAAATTAAATTATTTGGATACAGAATGGTAATAGAAATGATATGACTTTTGTTATTAAATTTAAAACGAATGTGATACATTGCGTATGCATGAGTGAATGTTTAATATAAATGGAAAAAAGCTCAAAGTATAAATAGATCACATAAATTACTTCATCTCAAAAAGGGCAATAAAGTAGTACTCATTACTTTCAGTTTCACCAACTGAAGTAATTATAATAATTTCAATTACAAATATTTCTTTTCCCTTCCTGGAACAATAGCATGCATTAGATAAAAAAAGACCAGCGAAGGTTTAAAATGCTCAAAGATCATTTAACTTTCTTTTCAAAAAAAAAAAAAGATTTTTGCAAATTTTTTGTCATTTCTGAACTCTGATCTTTTCTGTATAAAATAAGTTTGAAAACAGTAAGATAGCAAAGATGGAAATACAAATAAATTTAAAATTCATATTTGGTCCCTGCATCAAAAAATCGATCATTTCATAGTTGACCTTACTTTAAGTATAAATGTTTTTAAATGAAGTGTGAAAAGTAACTGACAAGCAGATTCAGGTCATGCAAATCTCAATAAATTACAAAGAATCCATCACTTAATGTCAACAATCTCGTCATCTATCTCTCTCTTTCTCCATTTCTCTCCTCATTCGATAAACTATTTCATCAAATGGTAATTGTACTTAATCCAAAAATTTGAAAGTAATATTCCAAGAAAATATTTCCCTCTGTGATCTTCTGGTCACTTTCAAATGAAAATGCCGCCGATTGTTTCAATTGATTACTTTTTGAGAAGAAAACATTGGCATAGAGGGAAGTACCGTAACCTAAAATTTTGCAAATTACTCGCAAAATCTATGAGTCAATTAATTTTCTTTCTGATAAATAAATGTTTAGTGACTGAATTGGAATAGAACATAGGAAAAAAAGCTTTCAAACAATTTGGACTGAGATTTTAAGATTTATCTATGATTCCAAAATGAACACAGCGCTGCTTTTCTATCATTTTCTGAAAGCATCAAAATTTTTTAAACGCAAAGATTGTTAATTTTTTGTTTTCTTAATTGGAAATTTTGATGAAATCTTAGCTTCTAACATTTTTGCTCTAATTTAAAATTTAACTTATTGAATAAACTACCATTTGCATATCGATAACTGTTTCATACAAATTTTTGATTGTTTTTGCAACTATTTTCCTTCTATGAAACGCTATTGAATGCAATTCATTTTCCATTAGTATACCAATTAATATAGGAAAATACATAAGTACCTTTCATTTTTCATAAAAGTAAGTTAGAGGATGTGGTGATCTTTGATCTTCGCAAGAGTGAAGAATTTCGGAGGGAACAAATTATTATTTACTTTGAAAGAGAGAGAGAGAGATATTGAAAGTACGCTTTTCTTGCAATTAACTTTGATAATAAAGAATGATCTTCTTTAGCATGCTGGGATAAATAAAGAGAGGGAGGGAGAGAGGTATTTGAAAAGAGAATCTCCACTTGCTGATCTAAAGGTCGACGAATGATTTCAACCAATGTTAGTACGGAGGTGGGAATTAACCACTCTGTTGAACACTGTCAAATCTCTGTATAAAATCGAAATTATTCGATTTCAAAGTGAGAACATAGTTTACCCTTCTATATATTCCCGAAAATACTAATGGAGCAGTCGTATCGACTCTGATATGTTGTCACATTGTTTCTCATATCGCAGATTCGATTCGACAAGCTGCACTTGTAGATACCGGGGATAATGCCACTCATATCAATCAGAAATTCGAAGTGTAGTAGGATGTTAGCTAGCTTTATTTCAAGCTGAGAATGAAAGCTTCTCATTGAGGACGATATTGGTCACATCTATCATTTCCGTAAACAAGGAAACTCGGAAAATCGAAATAGCATTTATGAATACAGCTGTATCATCATGATGTCAAACTGTTTCACTCAACACAGATCAGATGCAACTTCATGCCTGTAATTCCATAAATCGGAAATATTTCGAACAGAGAATCAGCATATTCATTGCAAAACTTAGCCAATCAGTTAAAAAATTCCTCCCATACGGAAGAAATTTAGATGAATACGTGAAGGACAATGTCACCGTATTGCCTTCATGAAAAGTAATGAAAACTACTTATTTTTGATTTTATCTATTACAGTTCGTGTATCTGATAAACTGTACTACGACATTCAGAAATCAAATATAGAAGCAGATCCGGAATCTAAATTTGAAATTAGACATAATAAATCAGGAAAACTAAAAAAGTATGACTTACGATCCACTCAATTCTTTTATGACAGCAGATATTACTATGTAGAGAAGTAAAGGACACTACCATGAAGAAACACTCCACCGATCACAAAAGATTATCTTAACAATTATCATTTAGCTATAGAAGATCATTCTTTATTGATCAAAATTGACCGCAAGAAACTATTGCTCCCTCTCCCTCTCTCTCTCTCTCTCTCTCTCTCTCTCTCTCTCTCTCAAAGCAAATAGTAATTTGTTCTCTCCGAAATTCTTCACTCTTGCGAAGATCAAAGATCACTATGTCCTATAATTTATTTTTGTGAAAAATGGAAAGTACCTATGCATTTCATATATTAATCAATATACTAATGGAAAGTGATTTGCATTCAGCAATGATTCATAAAACAAAAATTGTCGCAAAAACAATCAGAAATTTAGATGAAACAATAACCAATGTACAAATTTCAGTTCATTTAACAAATTAAATTTTAAATTTAAGGCCAAAGATGATAAAATTTTATGTGAATTTTCTATTGATAAAACAAAAAATCAACAATTTGCGTTTAAAAAGTCTTATTGCTTTCAGAAAATGCTAGAAAAGTAGCATTTGTGATCATTTTGAAATCTTAAACGTATCGAATTTTTTTCTCTTAGTGACACAATTACAGAATTTGTAAATCACAGAATTATGAATTGCTTATTGTTTGGCATCATTATGTGACTGATCGGAAATCTAAAATTGTCATATTGAAATAATAGTGCATGATGTGATGCTATCACTGTATACCACTGCATTATTTGAATGTTAAAGGAATTGTCTCTTTAATATTTGGGTAGGACATTTCTTCAGATCTGAATTTAGAGTATTACGGAACGGTTTTTGCAATATGGCATTCATGTTCATTTGATAATACGGTAACTTGTCCAACCTATTGGACGCAGTTATTGGTTCATTTTCTCGTTGTGACAATTCATCAGCATTTCAACCACTGTTCACATTACATTTTCAATAAGATAATGCAAAGTAATAGTTAAAAAAGTTTTTTCTTTCAAAAAAAGAAAAATGCATAAAAAACTGTCGGAGAGATCAAATTCTGTCATTGATCTTTATAGATTGGGTGCTATTACAGCTACTGATAGGTCTAATCCGGTAATCCGGAAAGTTTAAATTTTCTAATCTACTATATCTAATTCTAAATTTATATTCCGGATCTGCTTCTATATTTGATTTCTGAATGTCGTCATGCAGTTTATCAGTTATATGAACTGTAACAGATGAAATCGAAAATAAATAGTTTTCATTTTTTTTCATGAAGGCAATAGAATCCTTTTTTTACTTCAACTACCTTTCATATTTAATTCTTCCAACCGAAACCTAATGTTTAGTGTAAGATAACATTCATAAAAGCGTTGGTGATGGTAAATTATGTAAATTGAGCGGCATAAACTAGTCAAACATTTAAGGTTTGTTTGGACGTTTTATTGATTATTTAAATTTACGTCATTTCATTGAAATACTGTGACATTGTCCTTCACGTATTCATCTAAATTTCTTCCGTATGGGAGGAATTTTTTAACTGATTGGCTAAGTTTTGCAATGAATATGCTGATTTTCTGTTCGAAATATTTCCGATTTATGGAATTACAGGCATGAAGTTGCATCTGATCTGTGTTGAGTGAAACAGTTTGACATCATGATGATACAGCTGTATTCATAAATGCTATTTCGATTTTCCGAGTTTCCTTGTTTACGGAAATGATAGATGTGACCAATATCGTCCTCAATGAGAAGCTTTCATTCTCAGCTTGAAATAAAGCTAGCTAACATCCTACTACACTTCGAATTTCTGATTGATATGAGTGGCATTATCCCCGGTATCTACAAGTGCAGCTTGTCGAATCGAATCTGCGATATGAGAAACAATGTGACAACATATCAGAGTCGATACGACTGCTCCATTAGTATTTTCGGGAATATATAGAAGGGTAAACTATGTTCTCACTTTGAAATCGAATAATTTCGATTTTATACAGAGATTTGACAGTGTTCAACAGAGTGGTTAATGCCCACCTCCGTGCTAACATTGGTTGAAATCATTCGTCGACCTTTAGATCAGCAAGTGGAGATTCTCTTTTCAAATACCTCTCTCTCTCTCCCTCTCTCTGCTTTTCCCGCGCTTGAGAGGGGGAATCTGAAATACCTTAGTAATAAATCACTAAATCACTCTCTCAATTTCTCTGCATCATATAATTTACCTGTCTTTTTTCCCATTTTCTTCTCTCACATCAATCATTACTCTTTGCTATTGTAACTTTCAGTGCAATTTTCAATTTTCTGATATATTAAACTTTTTTTTTCTGGGAGGGGGGTGGGGGGAGGGGAAAGGGGGAAGGAAGGGAACATTTCTTTTCAGAGAAACAAAATAAACTATTCAGTAGTTCACAAAATTAGCAGTTTCTAATATAATCGAGTAAACATATATAACAAAATGAAGTAACTATTTCCATTAGCACTTTTATGTCACAAAAATGTCAGAGAAGAAAAGATTTGACACGAATAAAATGAAAAATGAAACAATCTATTTGGAAACAATTTATTTATTTTTTAAATGTAAGAATCGAAAAAGAATTGCTTACAATTTTATAAAGAATAATTGTAATTATTAATTGTTTTTGAAATGATTGTTAATTCGCAATATAAATAATGCTAGATGGACATTATTCAAATTATTGGTAATATTATTTAATTTAAAATAGAAAATATCATTTGATAAATTTTACTAATTGAATATAATAATTAATTACATTGTTTTTTTTTTTCTGCAGAACTATTCTGAAATGTTTAAAATTAACCCTTAGTATTCCTTGACCATAATATATTACTCGATTAACTCTTACTATTACTTGACTAGAATTCAAAATTACTTGACCTCTATTGCAAAGAGATAATTGTCAAAGTATGACCACCTCCTACATGAACGGAAAAGTTTCATTTTGATTCCTACATCAATTACAATCGCTATTTCCTTCCATTATCTGAGAATTCTCGACAAAATATTCCTTCCCCATTCACTAATCGATAATATATGCCTCAGTGATAATTAACTGCAACCAAAAGGAGTAATATTCTAACGTTGAGCAAAAATATACAATGCTTCGTAGATTATTACTCCCAATGGAAGCAGTGAGATAGCAGTATCATCACTTCCGTCAATTTTTCACGTCTCAAAAAATTTTGAAGATTTTTACGATGAAATATTCGCCCAACTATTCATTTATCAACTCTTTTCAATAGCATAAAAAAAAAAAGCTACTGAATGTAATTGCAAGAAATAATTTCAATTTAAATTTGAGGAATTTTCCTCATCCAATCTAATAACTTGAAAAGGAAATGATCGAAACGTAACTGCTATTTGTACTTTTTACGATCAGTAAACACAAATATTATTTTGAATCAATAACAAACTAAATGTTTTATAGAGTTATATATGTCAGATTGCAATTCTGATGACATGCAGAGCATTTATCATTGCTATAATTTTCTAAATTTGCTTATTTAGAATTTTAGAAATTCTATGAAACTTATTTCAATTCGTTATTAGTCTCATTGTTCAACATTTTTTCATGCTTTACTTCTATTTTGAAAATTTCCTCTGGAACTTTATTTCAGTTTTTTTGCTTTAAAATTTACCATAATCTCGAAATCATAAACCAAATGACAAGAAGGAATATGCAGTGTTAGAAACTAACTCAGTTGTCGCATTGTTTAGACCTGGAAATATTCATTAAAGCATTTTTACATTGGAAAATGCAAAAAGTTTCCAACCACTTTGCTATTACTTACCGCTCGTATAAATAATTCATATACAGAAATTATAGATTTTAATGATATTTATGATTTTGTTAAAATTTTTCTTTTTAATTCTCAATCGTTTTCAGGAAATCGATCGCATGAAATTCAGCATAAATGTGATTATTAAGACAATAAACAAAGAAATTTCCATTTAAAGCATTAAAAAAAAGAAAAATCAAATGCAAAAAGTACGATTCGTTTGTTGTGTTGCAGAAGCGCAATGAGCTAAATCGGTTTATGCGACATGCAAAACAAATTGAAAAAAAAAAAAAAAAGTGTCACAACCAACTGATCCAGCAATTGTCGCTAATACTTTAACTAGGGAATCTTAAATTTAGGCACCGAGAATAATAGCAAAAATAAGAGTAAATTATATTATTTCCATATTAATAGTGTTAATAGTTATCAGTGCAGGATTTCCGTATTCTATTCCGGTTGGATGTTCTTAATGTTTAACGTTTGGTATGTTTTCAGCAAGCATTTTATTCAAATTCATCGTAGTTTTTTAGGGTGTTGGACGTGATGTTGATGCAAGTTACGTCTAAGTTACTATTTAAATATTGATTCCGGTACATTTCGGGAATAGCACAAGTACAGATGGTCGTATCGGGCTTGTGATATGACAGATAATCAAACATCATGTCACAGTCGATACGGCTGCTGTCACTCGCACTTTCGAGAATATAAAAGGGAACGTCACTTTATATATAAATGATTTGAGTTACAAAAAAAGACTTTCTTTTATTTAGAGAATTGATAATGCTGAATAGAATAATCTCGCCCACTCCGTGTATCTTATTGGTTCAAATCTATCATTCACATTGCATCACCAGGCGGAAATGGCCAAGCAACGCCCTTTTTTCAAGTACCTCTTATTCTTGCACTCTCGTTGAAGTACCATAGCAAATAAACATTTCTTCTAATTTCTGTATCCTGAAATTGATCTATTTTAATTCGTTTTTTATCTCACATACACATTACACAATTATCATTTATGCTGCGACACGTTAAAATAAACGAAAAGAAATTAAAAAATACAAAAGAAAGAATTAAATTATAAATTGTTATTTCGTCTTATCAACAGCAATGTGTAAAATAATGCAGAAAAGTGTATGAAAAGCTTAAAACATATTTCCAGCTAATGCCCATCAATACTTTTTGTTAAATTTCGATGATAATATATACGAAGTATTTATAAATGCAATGAATTCAATAGCTTTTCAAGTGTAATAATTAATACTTTAATTTCTATATGACATCAAAGTGACAGATGTCAACTATCTGATCTATTAAATCAATATGGCAAATGTATGCAATGCTTATTAGCAAAGAAAGATTTGAAACATTTAAATTTGATAAATTGGTACTTAACAATTTTCACATATATATTTTTGTATTAAATAATTACCCTACACTGTAATTTATAAAAAAGAGATAAAAAGAGAAATAAGATAAAAATTTTGCTTATAAAGAGTCGTATTTATAAATTATTTCTATGATTAAAATTTTCATCTCACAATTTGATTTCATTTTAAAAAACTATTTTCATCAACAAAACAACAATTATTATTATTAAACAAAACTTTTGTCAATTATTTTACCATCGATTGGATAATGAAGCTTTCATCGATACTCTAATTAAAGGATTTGTCGCTTTAGTAAAACTTTGTCGATCTCACATTATGGGTTTCTATCAGTACGAACGAATCAGTGATTATGGAAAAATAAAGTAATAACTTGGGGGAAGTTAAATACATTTGCAAATAAATAATGTAGTATTCAAATATTAGAACATCTAAGAAAAATAAAAGATTTTTTAGTTTATTCATAGAATATTTAATACACTGGTTTGTTTCTTTCATTTTGTTTATAAATAATTTTTTTTTTCTCTACTAATTGCTTTGATTATGAAAAATATATTTAAATCTGTTGTTTAGGAATTTTTTTTACTCATAAAAGTAGAACTTTAAGGGTTCAATTAGAAGATTCAAATTTTAGTAAGTAAAGCAATTTCTGAAGTCGTACATAACACTTTTATAAAATATAAGTTGCATAATTGTAATTTCTATTCGGATTGCTTTCCAAATTGTTTGAAAGCTTTTTTTCCTATGTTCTATTCCAATTCAGTCACTAAACATTTATTTATCAGAAAGAAAATTAATTGACTCATAGATTTTGCGAGTAATTTGCAAAATTTTAGGTTACGGTACTTCCCTCTATGCCAATGTTTTCTTCTCAAAAAGTAATCAATTGAAACAATCGGCGGCATTTTCATTTGAAAGTGACCAGAAGATCACAGAGGGAAATATTTTCTTGGAATATTACTTTCAAATTTTTGGATTAAGTACAATTACCATTTGATGAAATAGTTTATCGAATGAGGAGAGAAATGGAGAAAGAGAGAGATAGATGACGAGATTGTTGACATTAAGTGATGGATTCTTTGTAATTTATTGAGATTTGCATGACCTGAATCTGCTTGTCAGTTACTTTTCACACTTCATTTAAAAACATTTATACTTAAAGTAAGGTCAACTATGAAATGATCGATTTTTTGATGCAGGGACCAAATATGAATTTTAAATTTATTTGTATTTCCATCTTTGCTATCTTACTGTTTTCAAACTTATTTTATACAGAAAAGATCAGAGTTCAGAAATGACAAAAAATTTGCAAAAATCTTTTTTTTTTTTTGAAAAGAAAGTTAAATGATCTTTGAGAACAACGATAGCATTTTAAACCTTCGCTGGTCTTTTTTTATCTAATGCATGCTATTGTTCCAGGAAGGGAAAAGAAATATTTGTAATTGAAATTATTATAATTACTTCAGTTGGTGAAACTGAAAGTAATGAGTACTACTTTATTGCCCTTTTTGAGATGAAGTAATTTATGTGATCTATTTATACTTTCAGCTTTTTTCCCTTTATATTTAAAATGTCTCATTTCTATTTTTTTTTTTTTTTTCAAACAAAAAAATTCTTATAAATATTCCTATAAATATTTGAAATACAAATATTCGTTATAAATATAAATAATCGCAAAATTCTTATAAATATTTTTTAAACAAATAGGAAATATAGCGTAAAATTCTTATACTAATACCTTAGCAATCGATTAGGATTCATTTCAGTTGTAATTTGTTATAAGCAAAATTGATATCGACTAAGTTCAGTTTAAATTACATTAATCTCTTTTTTGTTTTTGCAGATATTAAGTCCTGCTATTTTGTTTTATATGCTTCTGAATTCATTTTTTTCTTTGCTTTTTTTTTTTGTTCAAAGTAAATTTACATCTAATCTGCATCATATTGCTGCTTTTGATCACTATCGATTGATCTATTGATCAATATCTATTGATCAGGATTTGCAAAGTGCAAAATATGAAATAATCTTTCCAAACATAGAAAAAAAGTAAAAAAAAAAAAAATTAAATATTATGCGATTTACAAAAAATTGCATAGTATTGAAACATTACATTAGTATTATAACAACAACAGTTATTGTTTCAATAGTTGAGTAATAATAATGAAATTAGAAATGTAGTCAGAGATTTGTGTGATCATATTTACCGGAATTTTCTATATAAAAACTGATAATGTGAGATATGTTTGTTAGCTGAAAACTAACCAAATCCTTCAATAAATTTAAAATATGCGAAAATTTCATTAAAAAGAATAAAACACTACAGATATTGATATTTTAGAAGAAGTTTTGTTTTTGTTATCAATCATGGATTTGATAACAATAAAGCAATCAGAGGAAGAACAAGAATATAGCTACGCTACTGAATAATCGTATAAAGCGATAGGTTTTTTTTACGAGTGACACGTGTATGACAGATACCAAAGATATTCTAGATTAGTAGTTATAGGATGAGAAAAAATAATTCATAGATTTTTATGTATGCTGAATGGAAATTAATAATTTTATTCAGATTATCTAAATTAAAGCAATTCAAAAAGTATAAAGATGACTAATTCCTGTCGAGAATTCACGCTTTTCAGACATATGTGATGTTTTAATAACTTAATAACTCAATATGCTATTGTTTTCTCTCTTGAATTAATTTCAGAATCATTAGATATATTACTTCATCTGAGTACCTGTTTAGAAAAATGCTGAAAAGACACTAAAATATGTTTAAGCTTTAAAAAAAAGTATTTAAGCTTGAGGATGAGCTTGAGGATATATAATGAAGTTTCTGAAATTTTAAAATGCTTACATTTACTTGATGAAAGAATGATACAGTATGCAACATCGCTTTTTTTAATATGAATAAACTGTTAGCACATTTGAAAAAGATGGTGGAAGGTTGAAAAATTTTGAAAGGGAAAATGCTGGAGAAAAAAAAAAAAAGGAATTTGATGAAAAGGTAAAATGAGCTTTCTCTGTTCGATGGCATTGTGAGATGTAAAGTAATATCAATAAAAATGATTGTAATGTTTCAAAATTGAATGAAATAATCTATGAATTCGTTACTATCATTCTTCTTTTCTTATTTTTTGTTGTTTCTTTTTAACAAATTGAGAATTTTTTTTTTTCCTGTAGTTACTTTATATAAAAAGGAGTAAATTGAAGTACAGTTGTGAAAGAAAAGAACAAACAATGAGATATTAAATTCTTTCAAGAAAATAAATTGCAAATTGAAAATTTTTGCGCCATTGAATAATTTCCTAACAGTATTAATTTTCAATTTTAATTTCTAAATTTTTGAATTAATGCTGGGATGAAATAATAGTTTGAATAGAAAATAGTATAAGTTAATCGGTAGAATTCGTTGTTTCGTAAAAAATAAATAAATAAAATTCGTAAAAAATTCGTAAAAAAATTCGTAAAAAAATAGAAACTTGTAAATTAAGATTAATGTCAAGAAAAATTCTAAAAATGAGATCAATTATTATTATTATGGAATGAACGTAAGTCATTAATCTAAAGATCATGCTAATTAGTTTTCTTAAATAATGTTTTGACCATTTATTTGCTGTCGAGAAGCATTAGATAGATAGATAGATAGATAGATAGATAGATAGATAGATAGATAGATAGATAGATAGATAGATAGATAGATAGATAGATAGATAGATAGATAGATAGATAGATAGATAAGATAGATAGATAGATAGATAGATAGATAGATAGATAGATAGATAGATAGATAGATAGATAGATAGATAGATAGATAGATAGATAGATAGATAGATAGATAGATAGATAGATAGATAGATAGATAGATAGATAGATATAGATAGATAGATAGATAGATAGATAGATAGATAGATAGATAGATAGATAGATAGATAGATAGATAGATAGATAGATAGATAGATAGATAGATAGATAGATAGATAGATAGATAGATAGATAGATAGATAGATAGATAGATAGATAGATAGATAGATAGATAGATAGATAGATAGATAGATAGATAGATAGATAGATAGATAGATAGATAGATAGATAGATAGATAGATAGATAGATAGATAGATAGATAGATAGATAGATAGATAGATAGATAGATAGATAGATAGATAGATAGATAGATAGATAGATAGATAGATAGATAGATAGATAGATAGATAGATAGATAGATAGATAGATAGATAGATAGATAGATAGATAGATAGATAGATAGATAGATAGATAGATAGATAGATAGATAGATAGATAGATAGATAGATAGATAGATAGATAGATAGATAGATAGATAGATAGATAGATAGATAGATAGATAGATAGATAGATAGATAGATAGATAGATAGATAGATAGATAGATAGATAGATAGATAGATAGATAGATAGATAGATAGATAGATAGATAGATAGATAGATAGATAGATAGATAGATAGATAGATAGATAGATAGATAGATAGATAGATAGATAGATAGATAGATAGATAGATAGATAGATAGATAGATAGATAGATAGATAGATAGATAGATAGATAGATAGATAGATAGATAGATAGATAGATAGATAGATAGATAGATAGATAGATAGATAGATAGATAGATAGATAGATAGATAGATAGATAGATAGATAGATAGATAGATAGATAGATAGATAGATAGATAGATAGATAGATAGATAGATAGATAGATAGATAGATAGATAGATAGATAGATAGATAGATAGATAGATAGATAGATAGATAGATAGATAGATAGATAGATAGATAGATAGATAGATAGATAGATAGATAGATAGATAGATAGATAGATAGATAGATAGATAGATAGATAGATAGATAGATAGGTAATCATATTTTATTGTATTACATATTCCAGTGGCTATTTTTTACTGAATTTTTTTTTCTTATTGTATTATTTTTTTTTTCTTTTTTTATAAAATCTTATTGTATTATTTTTGATTGCTGTATTGTTTTCTTTAGGTATAATTTTAATTCTTAAAATTCAGTTGTTTTTTTCTCAAACAGCTTAATTTTAAATTGATAAAGCTTTTTCTTTTTTATCTATATTTATATATATATATACTTTTTATATATTTTTATTTTGCATTTTCAGTATTCAAATAAAAGATTTCGATTTAAGTGCATACTTATATACTTATATTTCATTGCAGTAGTCAATACGATCTATAATCTTTGTTAATGACGAATGATTGAACTTTAGTAACATTCTTTATTGCAGCGGACAAAATATCCTTTTTTAATGTAATTGAATATTTCCCATCTTTTCTTACTCAAATTATCATTTCATTTTTTTTATAAATAATTTTGAACTCTAAATATCGAAGCTGAAAATCAAAATTTTATTAGGAACAGTAGTGATGTGCTTGTCAAGTGCTTATAAATTTTTATGCTTCTATATAAATTCATATTAAATTTTCTTGTTGCGACAAAAACAAAAGCCTATTTAAACAAAAAAAGAATTTATTTTTTTAAATGAAATTTTTATTTTCCGTCAAAACACGAATTCATTATTCAGTTAACCTTATGTTTCCTAAAATTTACCCATGGCAATCACGGAATGAAAGGGAAGGAATAGAGTAAAATTGTTGGAATCTATCAAATTGTTTAAATGCAGCAAGTAAAATTTGCTTCTTTAATTTCTTCTATAAGCATTTATAGTTATGCAATCCTTTTTAATGATTGAATATGCTTGAGACAGCTAATATTTATTTTTTTATTAAAATATTTTTAGTGATATTTTGCTGTTCCCTTACTGTTTTGTTTACTTTAACAAATTAATTTTTGCTAAGTTTGTTTGGTATCAGTTTTCATTGCAATAATCTAATTTATTTAATATGTAATGGTTCAGTTTTGTACAAAAAAATTTATATTAGCTCAAATTTTTTAAATGAACTGACATAATAATTTGGTATAAGCTGAATAATATTTTTGTATAATTATTGATAGTTTCAGCTGTCACTTATGCATGTATTTTGAAGCAAACTTTTTTGTACTTTTAAAATGTGTTTTGAAAGTATCAATGATTCATTGCTAATACATAATGTACTGTTTTGGAATGAACCAAAAATTCAAAGTAACTTTATTCTTTTGAAAAATACATTTGCATTTTTTATGAAAATTTGTTCACTGATGATTCCATTTACATTGTTGATAGCAGAAAATTGAAGAAAGGTGGAAAATTTTGGAAGAATGAAAAAAACACTTACATTTTGCTTTGATTTTATTAGATAGTTTAATTCGTAAATTTTAGAATAAACTTAAATATTTGCATATTTTCATAGCTAATCAATGTACTGGAGAAAATAATAATCATTTTGTTATCAAAAATACAAATGGCAAACTTCTTAGATCATAATTATCCTTTTTTAATGCGCTTAATAATTAGCTAATTTTGTACTTGCTAAATTTTACTATTTTAGAGTGATCTACATGATCTATAAAATGATTTATCCAGAAGTGAATATTTTGAAAATGGAAGCACATAAACCCATATGCAGACAGATGTAAGCTTAATATAATTACAAAGCTGAAGTCGGGTATTGCTAATTATCATTAAAACTGATTGGAATAAATCACATATTCCAGCACCGATCGAAATTCATATCTCATATATGAAGTTTGACCATTGCACCAAATTAATAAATTCTTTAATGTCATAACTCAAAAATGGAGAAGAAAGGAGAATACAACATTAATAATTTAATTGTTTTAAGAATTTTATTTCTTTTATTTGAAGAAAAATAATAATAATAACTCAAAATGGAAAAAAATTGAGAATTCACTTTTTAAGAAAAAATTGCTTGAAAATAAACACCATACAAATGAAGTTAAATAATTTTTTTTTAACATTGAGCAAATAAAAAAGCATTAATTAGTCAGTCTGCTTAATAACTAATTATCAACACTGATCTAATACTGATCTGATCAATTATTACAAAAAGTTGTGAGCTGAAGTAAGAAGAGCCTTAATTCATCTTGAAAAAAAAAGTTGGACTAAATTAGAATGTGAGAAAAACTTTCAGGATTAGTTTATTCACGATAATGTCACTGTCGTAAATCTCGAATATTCTGATTGATCAGCAGCTATGCTAACTTTTCAATATCTGAGGAGCAACAATAGTAAATGATTCAGCTGTATTACAGAGGTTAGAACTTAAGTTCATATTCTGAAGCATGAAAACAGTGTTTTTCATCAACTTGTACAAATAATCTAGCAATATAATTTTCTTAAAAACAAAAAAAAAAGCAAACATCTGTTCAATTGTACACTTAATTCATTTATAAAGGCAGCAGCAATTTCTGAATCACCAAAAAGATGGATAATTTGTTTTTCTTGATCACTTGATCCTTCCATTTCAGGTGTTATTTCAATTAAGGTTTACTAGTTGTTAAACTTTTTTGAAAACTAATGGTTCATATCAGTTATTGGTAATGATGTTAATTTCGAATGAATATTGGTATCATCTTTAATTAAATTCTACAAGTTTAAATTCTTAGGATAGAAGGTAGTTTTAAGAGATTAAATTAAGAAGATTAGATATGAAACTACGAATCTTTTTTATTATGCTTTTTGTTTGAAGTTCCTAAATTAGAATAATAAGAAAAAATACTATTCCAACTCGGAATAACCTGTCGTTGCGTATCCATTATAAAAATGGAAGTAAAATTTTTGCTTTTTCCAGGAAGGAAAATGCACAAACTTCTAATATCGCTTGGCATATTAATTGCTCTTGCGATCCTTCCTTGTACATCACATTCAGATGATCATGTAACTTTTATAAACTTATTTCTACAAGAAAAATTTTTTTTTAAATTAAATCAAAAACCATGGCTGGCTTCCTATAGAGTATTGCAAGACTTTGTAGCAAATAAGCGATGAATAGGAAATTAGAGTATTAATTTGAAAAAGCACTTTCGTTTTTTCCAATTCAGCAGCTAAAATTGATTAGAAAAAAGTCATAACGAATTCCATCCAACAACTACAAATATTTAAACGAAAAAAGCACAGAATTCATTTATATTTTAATTTTTTAACTTTCATTTTCTTTAATCAGGATAAATTTGGCATTGATGTCAAGAAGTGCGGTGCAGGTAGTAGTGAATGTGATGTCGGGTACAAATATGACTCTGATGATGGTAATAAAGATGGATATGGCGCTGATAGCGGTGCCAGAAAAAGATATGATAACGATGATAGTGCAAGAGGCGATTATACTAAAGGAAAATTTGTTAAAACTGATGGCAGGTAAGTCATTTGATAAAGCCTATATTATCACTAGGGTTGTTTAATGAATCCTTTCATTGAAGATTATATACTATTTTATTTATATTTGATGTTTCTCTTAATCGATTTATATATTAATTGTCTGCAAATTTGAGAAATAATGCGAATTAAAAGAGTTCATTTATTTTATTGTAAGAATTATTTGCAGAAGGAAGGAGTGCTTTTCTGCAGAAGCTTGCTACGATCAGCGTGAACCAGAGGCTTGGTGTATTTTAAATGAGAATCAATCATGGATGTAAATGCATTTTAATTGTTTTAAATCAGAATTTTCAATGCTTGTGACTAGAATTTCTCAGTAGTACTGAGAAAGTCCTTTTTCAGAGATAAAGGTTGCTTTTGCGACGCTAAGTTGCATTCATGCGTTATTGAAAGAAATAACAGTGGCAGGCTGGAATACTCGTATTGTACGCCTGAAAAAGGTTGGGAGTGTTCATACAATGACAGAAGCACACAAGACGGTGAAGGTGGTAGTGGTGGTGACGAGAGCGTACATAGCGATGAATATGATGCTGAAAGAGGATATGATGGTGATGATAGTGCAAGAAGTGATTACATGAAAAGAGAATTTATCAAGACTGATGGCAAGTAAGTCATTTGGCTTTCCTATTTTATCAGTAAGGCTGCTTATAAATCCTTTCATTGGCACTGTAATTTTAACTTATTAATGTTGCATTTGATGTGTATAAATTGCTATGCGTATAAATTGTCTCTGAAATTGAGAAATAATGCTAAACAGAAGAGTTCATTTCACTTTATTATGTGAATTACTTGCAGAAAGAAAAAGTGTTTTTCTGCAGAAGCTTGCTATGATCAACGTGAACCACAAGCATGGTGCATGTTGAATGTGAATCAATCATGGACGTATGGACATTTTAATTATCTTTGTGAAAATAGTTTTTCGATATACATTAGAATCTTCATTCTTTGTGTTTGTTTTCTATTTTCTTTTTCAGAGACAAGGGTTGCTTTTGCGATGCTAATTTGCATTCATGCGTTATCGAAAGAAAGAACAATGGTAGGCTGGAATACTCGTACTGTGTGCCTGAAGAGGGCTGGAAATGCTCATACACTGACAGAAGCGCAAACGTTGCTGAAGATGAAGATTCTATCGCAAGCGGTAATATTGTTAATGGCGGTGACAGGAGCACATATAGCGATGAAAGTAGTGCTAACGACGAAAATGACGGTGATGATGGTGCAGGAACTAGATATCATGTTGTTGGAGAAGATTATGTAAAAAGAAAATTTGTCGAAACTGATGGCAAGTAAGTCATATAGCTTTCCTATATTATTAATAAATCATTGATGAAGTGATACTGTCGCATTGACATACTGATGTTGCATTTGATGTGCATAAATTGCCATCATATAAATGAGTAATAATAAGAGAAAAAATTGCAGAAGAAAGGAGTGCTTTTCTGCAAAAGATTGCTACGACCAACGTGAACCGGAAGCTTGGTGCATATTGCAAAAGAATCAATCATGGACGTAAGCACATTTTAATTATTCTTATAGAAAATTGCTTTTAAATATACATAAGAATTTTCTTGGCTTGCTTAAGATTTCTCAATAGTACCGAAAAATTTCTTTCAGATACAGAGGTTGCTTTTGCGACTCTAAATTGCATTCATGCGTAATCGAAAGAAAAAACAGTGGCAGACTGGAATACTCGTATTGTGTACCTGAAGAAGGTTGGAAGTGTTCATACAGTGATGTCAGTGATGGTGGCAAATATAACGGTAATAACGGTGCCGGAAGCAGTGAAAGTCGCACCGAAAGCATATATCGCATTGAAAGTCGTGCTGGGGACAACATCGCAGCGAAAGTGGTGCCGGAAGCGTATATCGTACTGAAAGCCTTGGAAAACATCGCAGTGAAAGTTTTGCCGCAGAAGCACATCGCAGTGAAAGTAATGTTGGAAGCGTATATAGCAGTGAAAGTCGTGACAAAAACGTACATCGAATTGAAAGCCCTGCCGGAGGAGAACATCACAATAAAACTCGTGTGGAAGCATATTTAGCATTAAAAGTCGTGCTGGAGGACAACATCGGAGCGAAAGTCGTGCCGGAAGCGTATATCGTAGTGAAAGTAATGTTGGAAGCGTATATAGCAGTGAAAGTCGTGACGAAAGCGTACATCGCATTGAAAGCCGTGCCGGAAGAGAACATCACAATAAAACTCGTGGTGGAAGCATATTTCACATTGTAAGCCGTGCCGGAGGAGAACATCGGAGCGAAAGTCGTGCCGGAAGCGTATATCGCAGTGAAAGTCGTGCCGGAAGCGTATATCGCAGTGAAAGTCGTGCCGGAAGCGTATATCGCAGTGAAAGTCGTGACGAAAGCGTACATCGCGGTGAAAGCCGTGCCGGAGGAGAACATCACAATAAAACTCGTGGTGGAAGCATATTTAGCATTAAAAGTCGTGCTGGAGGACAACATCGGAGCGAAAGTCGTGCCGGAAGCGTATATCGCAGTGAAAGTCGTGCCGGAAGCGTATATCGCAGTGAAAGTCGTGACGAAAGCGTACATCGCGGTGAAAGCCGTGCCGGAGAGAACATCACAATAAAACTCGTGGTGGAAGCATATTTAGCATTAAAAGTCGTGCTGGAGGACAAGATCAGAGCGAAAGTAGTGCCGGAGGCGTATATCGCAGTGAAAGTCGTGCGGAAGCGTGTATCGTAGTGAAAGTCGTGACGAAAGCGTACATCGCATTGAAAGCCGTGCCGGAGGAGAACATCACAATAAACTCGTGGTGGAAGCATATTTAGCATTAAAAGTCGTGCTGGAGGACAAGATCGGAGCGAAAGTCGTGCCGGAAGCGTATATCGCAGTGAAAGTCGTGCCGGAAGCGTATATCGCAGTGAAAGTCGTGCCGGAAACGTATATCGCAGTGAAAGTCGTGCCGGAAACGTATATCGCAGTGAAAGTCGTGACGAAAGCGTACATCGCGATGAAAGCCGTGCCGGAGGAGAACATCACAATAAAACTCGTGGTGGAAGCATATTTAGCATTAAAAGTCGTGCTGGAGGACAAGATCGGAGCGAAAGTCGTGCCGGAAGCGTATATCGCAGTGAAAGTCGTGCCGGAAGCGTATATCGCAGTGAAAGTCGTGCCGGAAACGTATATCGCAGTGAAAGTCGTGACGAAAGCGTACATCGCGGTGAAAGCCGTGCCGGAGGAGAACATCACAATAAAACTCGTGGTGGAAGCATATTTAGCATTAAAAGTCGTGCTGGAGGACAACATCGGAGCGAAAGTCGTGCCGGAAGCGTACATCGCAGTGAAAGTCGTGACGAAAGCGTACATCGAATTGAAAGTCGTGCCGGAAGCGTACATTGTAGTGAAAGTTTTGCCGCAGGAGCACATCGTAGTGAAAGTGGTGTTGGAGGCGTATATAGCAGTGAAAATCATACCGGTAGCATATATCGCAGTGAAAGCCGTGCTGGATATACATATAACAGTGATAGTAGTGCCGGCGGAGAAAATAGCAGTAAAAATTATGTAGGAGAAAAATATGGCATTAAAAGCAGTACCGGACGTTATAGTAGTAATACAGCGGTAACAGAACAACATGACAATGGATGTGTGGCGGAGAATGCAAAAAGAGCAGTGCCCTGCATGAGCATGACAGTGGTGTAGGAGGTGAATACGGTTGTAACAGTAGTGACGAGAGACAAACCGTTGAAAGTGATGCAGTTGGTGAATATAAAGATAATAGCAGTGTAGGAGACAAATATGGCGGTGATACCGGTGACATGAGCGCTATAGCAAGAAAGTGGTGCCAAGGAGAATTTAGTGCCAAGGTAGTGACAACAGATGAATATAGTAATTGAAAGTAGTGTCCGAAGCACATATTACAATGAGAGTGGTGTCGTAAATGAATATGACGGTGGTTGTAAGGAATGAATATAGCGGTAACAGCAGTATTCGAGACACATATGAAGGTGACGATGGTGACATAGCTGGATATGGCAATGAAAGTCGCACCGGAGGAGAATATGGTAGTGAAAGTCATGCCGGAAGAGAATATGGTCGTGAAAGTGGTGTCGAGGCAGAATATGGTCGTGAAAGTAGTGCCGGAGAAGAACATGGTAGTGAAAGTCATGCGGAAGAGAATATGGTCGTGAAAGTCGTGTTGAGGCAGAATATGGCAATGAAAGTCGCACCGGAGGAGAATATGGTAGTGAAAGTCATGCCGGAAGAGAATATGGTCGTGAAAGTGGTGTCGAGGCAGAATATGGCAATGAAAGTCGCACCGGAGGAGAATATGGTAGTGAAAGTCATGCCGGAAGAGAATATGGTCGTGAAAGTGGTGTCGAGGCAGAATATGGTCGTGAAAGTAGTGCCGGAGAAGAACATTGGTAGTGAAAGTCATGCCGGAAGAGAATATGGTCGTGAAAGTCGTGTCGAGGCAGAATATGGTCGTGAAAGTAGTGCCGGAGAAGAACATGGTAGTGAAAGTCATGCCGGAAGAGAATATGGTCGTGAAAGTCGTGTCGAGGCAGAATATGGCAATGAAAGTCGCACCGGAGGAGAATAATGGTAGTGAAAGTCATGCCGGAAGAGAATATGGTCGTGAAAGTGGTGTCGAGGCAGAATATGGTCGTGAAAGTAGTGCCGGAGAAGAACATGGTAGTGAAAGTCATGCCGGAAGAGAATATGGTCGTGAAAGTGGTGTCGAAGGCAGAATATGGTCGTGAAAGTAGTGCCGGAGAAGAACATGTAGTGAAAGTCATGCCGGAAGAGAATATGGTCGTGAAAGTCGTGTCGAGGCAGAATATGGCAATGAAAAGTCGCACCGGAGGAGAATATGGTAGTGAAAGTCATGCCGGAAGAGAATATGGTCGTGAAAGTGGTGTCGAGGCAGAATATGGTCTTGAAAGTAGTGCCGGAGAAGAACATGGTAGTGAAAGTAGTGCCGGAGAAGAACATGGTAGTGAAAGTAGTGCCGGAGAAGAACATGGTAGCGAAAGTCATGCCGGAAGAGAATATGGTCGTGAAAGTGGTGTCGAGGCAGAATATGGTCGTGAAAGTAGTGCCGGAGAAGAACATGGTAGTGAAAGTCATGCCGGAAGAGAATATGGTCGTGAAAGTGTGTCGAGGCAGAATATGGCAATGAAAGTAGTGCCGGAGAAGAATATGGTAGTGAAAGTCATGCCGGAAGAGAATATGGTCGTGAAAGTCGTGTCGAGGCAGAATATGGCAATGAAAGTCGCACCGGAGGAGAATATGGTAGTGAAAGTCATGCCGGAAGAGAATATGGTCGTGAAAGTGGTGTCGAGGCAGAATATGTCGTGAAAGTAGTGCCGGAGAAGAACATGGTAGTGAAAGTCATGCCGGAAGAGAATATGGTCGTGAAAGTCGTGTCGAGGCAGAATATGCAATGAAAGTCGCACCGGAGGAGAATATGGTAGTGAAAGTCATGCCGGAAGAGAATATGGTCGTGAAAGTGGTGTCGAGGCAGAATATGGTCTTGAAAGTAGTGCCGGAGAAGAACATGGTAGTGAAAGTAGTGCCGGAGAGAACATGGCAATGAAAGTCGCACCGGAGGAGAATATGGTAGTGAAAGTCATGCCGGAAGAGAATATGGTCGTGAAAGTCGTGTCGAGGCAGAATATGGTCGTGAAAGTAGTGCCGGAGAAGAACATGGTAGTGAAAGTCATGCCGGAAGAGAATATGGTCGTGAAAGTGGTGTCGAGGCAGAATATGGTCGTGAAAGTAGTGCCGGAGAAGAACATGGTAGTGAAAGTAGTGCCGGAGAAGAACATGGTAGTGAAAGTCATGCCGGAAGAGAATATGGTCGTGAAAGTGGTGTCGAGGCAGAATATGGCAATGAAAGTCGCACCGGAGGAGAATATGGTAGTGAAAGTCATGCCGGAAGAGAATATGGTCGTGAAAGTCGTGTCGAGGCAGAATATGGCAATGAAAGTCGCACCGGAGGAGAATATGGTAGTGAAAGTCATGCCGGAAGAGAATATGGTCGTGAAAGTGGTGTCGAGGCAGAATATGGCAATGAAAGTCGCACCGGAGGAGAATATGGTAGTGAAAGTCATGCCGGAAGAGAATATGGTCGTGAAAGTGGTGTCGAGGCAGAATATGGTCGTGAAAGTAGTGCCGGAGAAGAACATGGTAGTGAAAGTCATGCCGGAAGAGAATATGGTCGTGAAAGTCGTGTCGAGGCAGAATATGGCAATGAAAGTCGCACCGGAGGAGAATATGGTAGTGAAAGTCATGCCGGAAGAGAATATGGTCGTGAAAGTCGTGTCGAGGCAGAATATGGCAATGAAAGTCGTATCGAGGCAGAATATGGTAGTGAAAGTCATGCCGAAAGAGAATATGGTCGTGAAAGTCGTGCCGGAGAAGAACATGGTAGTGAAAGTCATGCCGGAAGAGAATATGGTCGTGAAAGTCATGCCGGAAGAGAATATGGTCGTGAAAGTGGTGTCGAGGCAGAATATGGTCGTGAAAGTAGTGCCGGAGAAGAACATGGTAGTGAAAGTCATGCCGGAAGAGAATATGGTCGTGAAAGTGGTGTCGAGGCAGAATATGGTCGTGAAAGTAGTGCCGGAGAAGAACATGGTAGTGAAAGTCATGCCGGAAGAGAATATGGTCGTGAAAGTCGTGTCGAGGCAGAATATGGCAATGAAAGTCGCACCGGAGGAGAATATGGTAGTGAAAGTCATGCCGGAAGAGAATATGGTCGTGAAAGTGGTGTCGAGGCAGAATATGGTCGTGAAAGTAGTGCCGGAGAAGAACATGGTAGTGAAAGTCATGCCGGAAGAGAATATGGTCGTGAAAGTCGTGCCGGAGAAGAACATGGTAGTGAAAGTCATGCCGGAGAAGAACATGGTAGTGAAAGTCATGCCGGAAGAGAATATGGTCGTGAAAGTGGGTGTCGAGGCAGAATATGGTCGTGAAAGTAGTGCCGGAGAAGAACATGGTAGTGAAAGTCATGCCGGAAGAGAATATGGTCGGAAAGTCGACGAGGCAGAATATGTCATGAAAGTCATGCCGGAAGAGAATATGGTCGTGAAAGTCGTGCCGGAGAAGAACATGGTAGTGAAAGTCATGCCGGAAGAGAATATGGTCGTGAAAGTCATGCCGGAAGAGAATATGGTCGTGAAAGTGGTGTCGAGGCAGAATATGGTCGTGAAAGTAGTGCCGGAGAAGAACATGGTAGTGAAAGTCATGCCGGAAGAGAATATGGTCGTGAAAGTGGTGTCGAGGCAGAATATGGTAGTGAAAGTCATGCCGGAGAGAATATGGTCGTGAAAGTCATGTCGAAGAGAATATGGTCGTGAAAGTCGCACCGGAGGAGAATATGGTAGTGAAAGTCATGCCGGAAGAGAATATGGTCGTGAAAGTCGTGTCGAGGCAGAATATGGCAATGAAAGTCGCACCGGAGGAGAATATGGTAGTGAAAGTCATGCCGAAAGAGAATATGGTCGTGAAAGTGGTGTCGAGGCAGAATATGGTCGTGAAAGTAGTGCCGGAGAAGAACATGGTAGTGAAAGTCATGCCGGAAGAGAATATGGTCGTGAAAGTGGTGTCGAGGCAGAATATGGTCGTGAAAGTAGTGCCGGAGAAGAACATGGTAGTGAAAGTCATGCCGGAAGAGAATATGGTCGTGAAAGTCGTGTCGAGGCAGAATATGGCAATGAAAGTCGCACCGGAGGAGAATATGGTAGTGAAAGTCATGCCGAAAGAGAATATGGTCGTGAAAGTGGTGTCGAGGCAGAATATGGTCGTGAAAGTAGTGCCGGAGAAGAACATGGTAGTGAAAGTCATGCCGGAAGAGAATATGGTCGTGAAAGTCGGGTGTCGAGGCAGAATATGGTCGTGAAAGTAGTGCCGGAGAAGAACATGGTAGTGAAAGTCATGCCGGAAGAGAATATGGTCGTGAAAGTCGTGTCGAGGCAGAATATGGCAATGAAAGTCATGCCGGAAGAGAATATGGTCGTGAAAGTCATGCCGGAAGAGAATATGGTCGTGAAAGTCATGCCGGAAGAGAATATGGTCGTGAAAGTGGTGTCGAGGCAGAATATGGTCGTGAAAGTAGTGCCGGAGAAGAACATGGTAGTGAAAGTCATGCCGGAAGAGAATATGGTCGTGAAAGTCGTGTCGAGGCAGAATATGGCAATGAAAGTCGCACCGGAGAAGAACATGGTAGTGAAAGTCATGCCGGAAGAGAATATGGTCGTGAAAGTCATGCCGGAAGAGAATATGGTCGTGAAAGTGGTGTCGAGGCAGAATATGGTCGTGAAAGTAGTGCCGGAGAAGAACATGGTAGTGAAAGTCGTGCCGAAAGAGAATATGGTCGTGAAAGTCGTGCCGGAGAAGAACATGGTAGTGAAAGTCATGCCGAAAGAGAATATGGTCGTGAAAGTCGTGTCGAGGCAGAATATGGCAATGAAAGTCGCACCGGAGGAGAATATGGTAGTGAAAGTCATGCCGGAAGAGAATATGGTCGTGAAAGTGGTGTCGAGGCAGAATATGGTCGTGAAAGTAGTGCCGGAGAAGAACATGGTAGTGAAAGTCGCGCCGGAGATAAATACGAGAGTGGTAGTGATGCTGGAGGAATTTACGGCAGTGAAGTTAGTGCTGCAAGCGAATACGCAAGTGACAATAGTGCCAGTGATGAACATGCTGGTGACAGTAGTATCAGAGGCAAATTCACGAAAGGAGGATTTGTTGAAGGTGATGGCAGGTAAGTCATTTGATAAAGCCTATATTATCACTAGGGTTGTTTAATGAATCCTTTCATTGAAGATTATATACTATTTTATTTATATTTGATGTTTCTCTTAATCGATTTGTATATTAATTGTCTGCAAATTTGAGAAATAATGCGAATTAAAAGAGTTCATTTATTTTATTGTAAGAATTATTTGCAGAAGGAAGGAGTGCTTTTCTGCAGAAGCTTGCTACGATCAGCGTGAACCAGAGGCTTGGTGTATTTTAAATGAGAATCAATCATGGACGTAAGCGCATTTTGATCTTATGAAAATTTATTTTTTCATTAGAAGTTTTAATGCTTGTGTTTAAGATTTCTCAGTTCTACAGAGAAATTCCTCTTCCAGAGACAGAGGTTGCTTTTGCGACACTCATTTGCATTCATGCGTTATTGAAAGATGGAATAGTGGCAGACTGGAATATTCGTATTGTGTGCCGGAAGAAGGTTGGAAGTGTTCGTAGTATAATCGATGATATACATTCATTCGTTAGGTCTTTCCATTTTACTTCTTTTTAATGCAGATATTTGGTACTATGTATTTTTTTTTTTTTTTTTTGTTTGCTTTGGTTTTTATTGAATACCGACTAATGTTTTACATTTTTATGTAAATATTCGAGAATGATTTTTGCAACAGTAATTCGAACGAAATCAATTTTTACCTGAAATGGTTGCAATAATTGCATTATTGATCAGCAATGTCTAATAAAGATAGTACAAAATATCTAATAAACGATTCACTAAATTTTAAACAATTAATTCGTAATATATTGCTGGCGAAGTAATTCATCCCTTCCTAATTGCATCATGTAATATTTTTTTTAAATTTTAAAATTTGTTTAATTTGAAAATGCTGTGATAAAATGTTCCTGACAATTTCTAACATTATACGAATTATTTGTCCAAAATTAATTTGATCTTTTATTTCTAAAGGACAAATAGCAGTCCTACAAATAAAAAATGGTATTGTCGCTTATTTGATTTTATTAGTGTTCTGAATTTTAACAATCACAATCAATAAACATTTAAATATTAATAAAAGTTAATGAAGTGAACAATATGCGTGACTTTCTGTTGAGTAAATGACATTTTTTTTAAATCTCTACTATTAAAATTATTTTTGTTGCAATTTTAAATTTACAGGATGATCATTATAAATAGCTCCTATATTAATCATATAATCGTAATAAAAAATATACAAAGATTATTTAATGGAATTAAAATGTATAAAATGAGAATTGAATAGAGCTACTGAAAATGATCAAAAAAGGTTTTTTTTTTTGATGATTAAAGTGATAACACTGCTCGTTTAAATATCATAGCATCAATTCTGATCTAATATATTAATATTTGCGACAAAAAAAAAAAAAAAAAAAAAAAACGAATTTCATTCCGGACATATTATAAAATAATATGAAAAAAAAAAAGGAAGAGAAAGAAAGAACATCCTGTAATTAATCATAAAAAATTAAATGCTTCTAACATTTTCAGCAGCTTTGTTGTGATATTAATGTAAATTTAAAATTACGGAAGTTTTTCATACTTCTATTAAATAATTTTACAATTTATAAAAATGTTTAACTCACAAAAAAAAAAAAGAAAAGCAATTATTAATTGTCAAATTTACAACAAATAGAGCCAAAAAAAAAAAAAGAAAAATGTAAATTTCATTTTTATTTTGGGAAAGTTTTTAATTTGGTACAGTTAGAAAAAAATTTATTTGATGTTTTATTTCTTTTCTTCGTTTTGGTGATATTTTCTTTCTTTCCTGAACGTTATAGGACAGTTGTAAAAGATTCATCAGTAATCCAGTAAGTCTATCAATAATCCGATTTATAAAATATCAGTAATTCAAACTTGTACGAATTCCGGTTTATTTGTTGATCAAAGAAAGGATTCACTTATATGTAAATATTTGCGAATTTCATTATCCACAATAATAGAATAAACAATTTATATATATGTCCATAAAGAGTTGAAATGATTTTTTAAAGCTATTATTAATTATATTCTTTTGGATAAAAAGATAGCTATGCAAATAAAATTTTTCAATATTTTAATTATTATATATTATTATTATTTTTAATTATTATATATTATAATTATTATTTTTAATCTTTTAACTATTATATAAAATTCTTTAATTATTACAGTTAAAATGCTTCTAAATGTAAATTAATTGAATTCGTTGTATTGTAACATACATTTATAACTCATTAAAATAAATAGGACAAAGAGATTTTTTTTAAAAAAAAATTGCAAAATTTTTTTTTAAAAAAAAGAATTGCAAATAAAATGCAATGAAATTAAAGAAAATATGTTACCAATCTTTTAAATATTACAAATGAAAATTTTTAATTAGATTTTTTGTATTTCAATTATTGAAATTGGTATATATGCTTAATGATTAGAAGCAAAGATGGGATTTAAATAATAATTCATTTCATTAAACATTGTAACATACATTTATAATTCATTTTTTATGCTAATAAATCTTTATTTGAATGAGAAAAATATTTGTAACATAAATATAATTTTATTGTTTAGGCATATAAATAAAAAATTATTATGAGATTTAGGATATTTATAATTTGTAATAAATGAAATAGAGAAACATATTAAAATAAATAGGACAGAGAGATTTTTTTTTAAAAAAATTAACAAAATTTAAAAAAAAAAAGAATTGCAAACAAAATTAAATGAAAAACTAAAAATAAGGAAACTAGAAAAAATAAGAAATAAATAAATAAATAAAACAAGAAAAAATAAGAAAAAAAAGTGGAAAAGTGCATCGTAATTTATTTTTTGTCAACAATTTAAAAAGCTAATAAAATTGTATATTTTATAAATTCTATGATTTCATTTGTTTTTCTTTTTTATTTAAAATTTTATTTTAAAAATTTTTTTATTCAAAATTTTTCTCCTTAAACTGATTCATATCAATAGCTTTGAGAAATGTGTTATTTAAGTATAATTTCCGAATAAGCATTTTTCTTTTGCTTTTTTCCGGGATTTACTTCGGGATCACATTATGGATGAAATAGGAATCATTTTTGAATCATTAAGAGGTCCTATATATTGAATATGATATGATATTTGAATCGATGATTAAATTGAATTGAACAATGAAAAACTCTTTTCAACTAAAAATGTAAATAATTTTGAAAATAATAATTGTAAAAATAAAAAAAAAAAACTTGAAAATATAACTTTTTAATTGGAAATTATCAAGATTTCTGCAGCAAATTAAAGCGTTTAAAATTTTGTACGTGAAATTTAAAATTAATTTCTGCAAATTTTAATCATTTTCATGACATTTCCTACATTTATATTTCGTTTTGCTATTTTTTTATTCCTGATGAAATTTACAAATTTGAATGATTTCATAAATAATTCACTTAATCGTTTATTAATTAAAAATTTCCTCCCAAAATTAATTCTTCCAGGTTTTCAAAAAGTTCTTTCCTCGCTATTTTTTTGATAAAAAATTAACAATTTAATAAATTTTGGTAATAAATTAATGCAGGAGCAGATACTTTTTTTTTTTTTTGAGAAGAAAATTCATACATTTATATTTGCGATTATTTCTAAAATGCAATTATTTCCAAAATTTTTCTTATAAAAATTCTAACTGACCGTTCGATATTTCAAATTTTCTTGAGCAATTTTCTTAAAATATTATTTATTTTTAAAAATTTCGAATTATATCTTCCTTTTTTTTTGTGAATTTGTTAAAACCATTATAGTCCGTCCATATAGAGAATTGAGGTTAAAATACTATTTGGTCGTGCCGGATTAGTCGAAGGGATATTTAGGGACACACCTGTGTTACCTGTTGTCATTTTATTGAAATGAATAAAATTTTGTATTTATATTGCGCTGAGTGGCTCATCAACTATTTATTTCAAAATTCATCTTTTGATCAAATTTTTATGCCAAAATGTCCTGATTAGTAGCAAAAATTTTGTCGTTTTTTTTTTTTTTTTTTTTTTTTTATTAATATTTATAATACTTTTTTTTTTTATTCCAATAGAAATTCAATTTAATTTGTATAAAGTTCCTTTAAGTCTTTTTGTTTATATCATCAAAAAGTTGACATCAAGTGACAGAATAGGTTAATTTGAGTTGAACAATAATTTTATAGTGTCAATTTTTTTTTTTTTTTTGCTAAATTAGCAATATAAATTAATTTCCATATTTGCTTTGACCTTCAGTTTAAGTTTGATTATTTGATTTAAACATAATATAAGTAATTTTTTAATTAATTTAAGTGTATGTATATAGTCTTGGAAATTAATTTGTCTTTTTCTTGAAAATAAATTTTCAGCGAAATATATCACACAGCAAATGATTACAAGAGATTTTGGCACATTTTTAATTGCTATTTTCAGCTTTTCATTATTCAAAGGTTTGTTTATTTTATAATTTTAAACCATAAACGTAGGTAAGAGGAAAAATTAAAATGAAAAAAATAAGTTAAAAGATATAACCAGTCGTACAATCACATATTTCAAATTAATAAACTTATTTTTATGTGTAAATTTGAAATTTTGTTTTTTTTTTTTATAATTTCAAAAATTTATAAAATTAAGCATTTAGATTCTAGTGGCCTAGAATGTTACATTTGTGATGATGAAAATTTGGATGAAGGCGGTGATTGTCATGAACAATTCCGCTATGATTGTACTAGTTATGCGAAAAATTTTAAACCTACTGAATTAATTTTTTGTCGAACGATGCGAAAACGAGTGAGCAATGGTAAAAATTTTTGCATTATAATTTTATACTTTAAATTATTCAAGTTGATTAATTACTTTAAATATAATCTAAAATATTTAGAATATTCAGTTACACTGCTAAAATTTTTTTAAAAAAAAACAAAGAAATGACTTAAATTAATGTTAAAATTAATAAAAAATATAGATTTGATAAATATGAAATACTTAAAATAATAAAATAATGTTTTAAGAAGTAACATTTGCACAATATGAGCTGATTCTATTGTATCAACGAATTAAGAATTCTTTGAATTAAGCAATATTAAATAATTAATTAATTACTGATAATTTGTGTTTATATATTTATGATTACTGATAATTTGCATCTATCAGATAGCTATACAATCATGATTACTGATAATTTGCATCTAGCAGATAGCTATACAATCATGATTACTGATAATTTGCATCTAGCAGATAGCTATACAATCATGATTACTGATAATTTGCATCTAGCAGATAGCTATACAATCATGATTACTGATAATTTGCATCTAGCAGATAGCTATACAATCATGATTACTGATAATTTGCATCTAGCAGATAGCTATACAATCATGATTACTGATAATTTGCATCTAGCAGATAGTTATACGATAACGAAGGAATGTATTAGCGAACAAGATCACTATCGAGTATTTCCACTAAGGCAGTACTCATTTGATGAGGAGGAATGTGATTTCATCGAGATGGATGGTAATGAGTTAGCTTATTGCTTATGCCAAAAAAATTTTTGCAACGCAAAAAATATTGTTGATCAGTTCGTCGATTTTGAAGAAGTTAGTAGAAAATTTTTATTATAAATTATTTTGTAGGAAAAAAAAAGGACTAAAAAAATTTCACATTTTATAAATATCTTACATTTACTTCTATCTTTAAAAAAAAAAAAAAAAAAGCAAAAATAGAGATTGCATAATTTTTGCAATTTTACATAAATTTCATCAACTAATTATTATATTTATGCTAATTCTTGTTTTGTAAAATTTTAAGCTAATTTTATAATTCACCAATTGATTTTTCATTAAATAAGCATAATTAAAAAAAATTATTTCAGAAACATACTGAAATTTTTGCTGCTACAGCTAATGGTGCTATTATTGAAAAGCATAATGAACGATTTCCAATCACATTGCAGAAATATTCAGTGCAATTAAATTATCCACCAATTCAAAATATTGATCGAGTAATTATTGTGTAACATAAATGATTTTATTTACTGCTAGCAAATTACTAAAAAATTATTTATTTTTATTAACTTTTTCTTTAATTATTCAATTTTTTAAATAAATTTAGTCAAAAATAACTCATTTTACTTTAATCAAAATTAATTAACAAAAAAACAACGATTGTTTTTTTCAGAATGAAATGAACTTTCGTTATGAAGCAGCAAAATCTGAACTAACTAATGGACGATCTAATGATAAGATTGACGAGATTGATAATGATTACTTAAATAATCACTTCAAACCACAACAAATATATGATAACTCACGTAAGAGAAATAGCATGTAAACGTGTAACAAAATATAACTAATAGTATTCTCACGTAAGAAAATAGGGTAACAAAACATACAAGTGTTCTCACGTAAAGAATAATACACAAACGTGTAACAAAATGTAACTAATAGTATTCTCACGTAAGAAAATAGAGTAACAAAACATACGAGTTTTTTCACGTAAAAGGATAGCATACAAACATGTAACAAAATATTAGTGCTATGTTTGATTATTAAAAATAAAATGGTTTTATCGAAATATTGTTTGAAATTTTTATTAAAATTAGATCAAATGGAACTTTAAAAGAGAAATAAGAAATTGCTTAAAAAATTTTTCTAATTTAATAAAAGAAATTTTCAGGATTATCTTATCAAATGTCAAGTTTTCCATTAAAACAAAATTATGAGCCAACAATATTTGCTGGTAATATTACAACGAATTTTTCATCTCTACAAAATAGACATCGGTTAATTTATTTTTACTATTCTTTTCACAAATGATACTTTTTTATATTTTCTATTTTGTATTTAAAAAAAAAAAAAAAAACCTGTAATTAAAAAAAATTGTAATTTAATTTATAATTGTTACAATTCAAAAAACTTGCAATTTAAAAGCATAAAATTTCAAAAAAGATTTATAATTTTTAAATTTACAATTTTTATAATAAAAAAATTTATGTCTGAAAAAGAAATTTTTTCTTATCCATATGCAAATTTTAGTGAGGAAATGATTGAAGATACTGGAAAATTGAGGACATCTGAACAAACCTCAAAATTATTTGGAGTTAAACAACAAAATGCTGTTAGTTAGTTAATACTATAATTAATTTCTTTCAAATATTAATTTAAAAAAAAAAAAAAAAAGAACGAATGAAAATGGAAACTTAAAACAAATATAAAAAATAATGAAAATCTTTCAAAAGATTTAGAAAAAAAGAAATTTTACATATTTACAATGAATTTTTTTTTTTAAAAAAACAAAGCAAATATAAATAAAATTTAAAAATTTTAAACTATATTTTAAAATTTCTTTTTTAGGATATAAATGAAAATTATTGCTATAATTGTGTGGAAAAATTAGATGATCCAACAGAGGATTGCTTAGATGTAACAATTGTTCAATGTCCTATTTCAAAAATAAGTGGACGAAGTCAGATGTGTATCACTAAACAATCACACATAGCAGATGATAGTTGCGATTTTAATTTTTTTGATTTAAATTTTTTTTTGGTTTTAATTTAATTTTACATTATAAAAAAATGATACGTTATCGTTATAGAAAATGCTATATTGCAATGAATTATACAAGGATATAGTGATGCATAAATTTGATGATTAAATTATGATTTCAATAGCAATTTAAAATTCTGATTGAAATTTTAAGACTGTATTAAATCAAATTATTTCTATTAATTCAATTTGTTTTTCGCCATTCTTTTTAATGAAAAAAAAAAAAAAAGAAAGAAAATCAAATATTTTGCAATTTATTCTAGCATTTTTTTTTTTTTTTTGATTATTACTTTTTTTAAATGTATTTATTTTATAGTTTGCATATTCTTTTTTTTTTTTTAAATAATATTTTATGCTCGTTGAAAAATTAAAAAAATTTTTTTTTTTTTGTGTTTTCTTTTTTTAGATTTATATAAGTTGGAAAAACGATGTAGCACGGATAATGAAGAAAATGGAATAATATTTGATGAAATATCAGAAGGAAAGATTGCTTGTATGAGAACATTAGATGCTTCAGTAGCTTATTGTTTATGCATGGGACATTATTGCAATAAGGATAGTTTGTTGATACAGGCCGAGAAATTAGCCCAAAGTCAAAGGTTACACGAATTTAAATTATTGTAATAAATTAATTCTTTCATCTTTTTTTTTTTTTTTTTTGCTAATAAAAAAATTATGATTATGCTATAAAGTTAAGTCAAATTTACATAATTTAAAATTGAAAAATACAATTTAAATAAAACTTAAAATTTATGTTTTGTTTCTTTTTTCAAATATGGCAGTTTATTATCATAATTTTTATTAATTATTGCAATATTACATCATTATTATCTCACTACCTAATGCGATTATTGTTATTAGCTAATTATTTTATCATTTAAAAATCATCATCTTATCATAATTATCAGTATCACAATCACTGTTAAGCTAATTATTTTATCATTCAAAATGATCATCTTATCATAATTATCAGTATCACAATCACTGTTAAGCTAATTATTTTATCATTCAAAATGATCATCTTATCATAATTATCAGTATCACAATCACTGTTAAGCTAATTATTTTATCATTCAAAATGATCATCTTATCATAATTATCAGCATTACGCTGTTATTATTTTATTATTAAAAATAACTCGAACGTTTCTCTTCCTTTTTTAGTATAATATTTGTTATTACAACTATTACTATATTATTTTATCATTATTCTACTATCCAAATTAATCATTATCAGTACTATCACAATTATCACAATACTATTTTATCATATTTTTTATATTACTTTATCATATATTTTTACATTATTAATTAAAACTTTAATTTTTTTGATATAATAAACATTATGATAATTATTATAATTATCATAATATTATTATAACTATCCATTACTATGATTTTATATGTTAAAAAATATAATTCGCATAGGCTTTTTTTTTATTTTTTAAACGCTATGAGCATATTTTGCAGTGACGATGAAAGTAATTCGTTGAAGAATTCAATATTCAATGAAAATACCAATTCGATTATTTCCTCAACCATTATGCATTCTCAAATTATAGCAAATAATGTAAGTTAAAATATTTTTATTCAAAAAAAAAAAAAAATATAATATTTAAAAAATGTTAATTTAAACAAATAAGCAAGAAATTTTATTTTATTTTCAGCCCATGCAACTTTCAACAGTATCATCGTTGCAAAATTTGTTCAACAAAACGAATGCCCAGTAAATTATTTTATTAAAATTAGAAAAATAAATTTGCATTTAAAAAAATTTTACATCCAAATTTAAATTAATACTTTTAATGCAAAAAAAAAAAAAAAGAAAAAATTACAAAGATTTTTTTTCATTTTTTTAGAGTAATTTAGTTGTTTCATAATAATTTTTAATTATTAAAAGATTTATAACTTATAAATACAATTTAAAAGAGAGAAAAAAAAAAGAATTTGAAATACTTAATTTTCATAAATTTCTTTCTTTTTTTTTTTTTTTTTGTTGTTATAAAATAAAAAAGAAGAAAAACTGTAACATTAAAATTTAAAACAAAAAAAAAAACAATTTTCAGGATATTTGATGAAATGAACTATCTGAAAGATAATATTATTGTAAATAATATTGCATCAAAAAATTTCTTCCTATCACCTATCACAATCATAATCATTATGTTATCATTTTTATCTTCTTGAATAAAGTCATATCATTGATATATTTTTGTGTTCAACAAAGAATTCATCTGACAGAGAAAAGAACAGAAATGATAAAAAAGATATTTTAGATGGTAATATTTATAAAATTTTGTTTTAAACAGTGTATTTTTTTTTAATTACTTTTATTTTATGTATTTTTCATAAATATAAATTTCATTAAAATGAAATGCACGGATTTTTATTTATTGTGTTTATTCTTTCTTAATTAAATTTAATTTTTTCTGTTCTTTGATATTTGACAATATTACATTTTTTTTTTTTTTCAATTTAGCTTATTATGTGTTTTATTTTTTTTTTAATATAATCTTTATTTGATATCATAATATGTCATATCGCTTATCAATTTTTTTTAACATATCACACAGATAAATTTGATAATTTAGTATTTTCATTTATGTAAAAATAATAATTACCATATCATTATGCTATTATTTATTAATATTATTATTATTAATATTTATTAATATTATTTTATTATAAAATTGTCATTTCTTTAATTTATGCAGAAAAAAAAAAAAAAAAAAAAAAAAAAACAATTTTTTTTTTATTACATATTAAAACTTTTGATTCTCTTTTTTTTTCTTCTTTTTACATTTTTTATTTCCTTTTCATTAATTTAGTCATTTCTTTCATTTTTTTTTTCTTTTTTGTAATTTTAATAGCAAAAATAAACAAAAAAACAAAGTAATAAACATAAAAATGAAAAATTGATATTTGATATAAACCAAAGAAAATACAAAAATTACTTCCGGGTTTGATAAGAGTTTTACACGATGTGCTCCGCTCATTGCTAACAAACAAACATTTAGCATTGTGTTTGCAAACATTTCAACAACAATGAATCAATCGGTGGGTACGTACCATTCATCCATTCATCTTTCTTAAAATCTCATTATTTATCCTAAATTGATGATCAGATGCTAAATTCAATGCTATCAGTTAACTCTGATCCTTATTTTATAACCTTTTTTTTTTTTTTTTTTGTTTTACAGTTATTATTTTACTTAGCAAATTACAAATAATTAGCCTAGTATTATTCATTTTAATCCAATGCAAATTAATCTAGTGCTACAAAAATTAGCCCAATGTTAACAGCCTAATTTGTTATTTTATAATTTTACAATAATCATTTTACTTAGCAAATTACAAATAATTAGCCTAGTATTATTCATTTTAATCCAATGCAAATTAATCTAGTGCTACAAAAATTAGCCCAATGTTAACAGCCTAATTTGTTATTTTATAATTTTACAATAATCATTTTACTTAGGAAATTACAAATTAATTAACCTAGTATTATTCAATTTTAATTCTAGTGCTACAAAATTAGCCTAGTATTAATCATTTTAATTGCAGTGCTATAAAATTAGCCCAATGTAAACAGCCTAACTTGTTAATTCATAATTTTACAATGATCATTGACTTGTAAAATTACATATAATTAGCTAATTAGTATTATTCATTTTAATTCATGCATTTTAATTCACAAATCAATCCAGTGTTACAAAATTAGCCTAGTATTATGATTTTAATTCTGGTGCTACAAAATTAGCCTAGTATTTATGATTTGAATTCTGGTGCTACAAAACTAGCCTAGTATTTATGATTTGAATTCTGGTGCTACAAAATTAGCCTAGTATTTATGATTTGAATTCTGGTGCTACAAAATTAGCCCGGTGTTAACAACCTAATTTGTTAATTCATAATTTTACAGTTCATCATTTTATTTGCGTATACAATAATTAGCCTAGTGCTATAATTCTACAATTTTATAATCATAACTTATTTATTATTTTTTCCGTATAAAAATGGAAAATATCATTTAAATTGTCATGATAATAGTATTATTTCCAAAAAAAAAAGAGAAAAAAAAATTTTGTTTTTTTTTTTTTTTTTTTTTGTTTTTTCTAAAAAAAAAAAAAAAAGAGAGAAATAATAATAATTTTCTAAAAATAAGTTATAGGAAATTACTATTATTTCTTTCTTCTTTTTTTGAATGAAAATTTTTGGTACATTAATTTTAATCAAATTTGTTTCCCTATTCCTCTATCTAAATTATCACAGTGATAAATGATAATACTTGAATGAAATTGAATAAATAATAATTATATGTTGATATTAATTACACCCTTTTATAAATACTTTCTTTTTAAATTCAATAATAAATCTTTTAAATTATATAAATTTTCATCCGTATCAAATATTTGTTGTTGACAATTGATAATAACAATAATAATAATATTAATAGTAAAAAAATAATAATGTTAATAATAATAATAATAATAATAAATTTTCACCATAGTTTAAAAATAATTTCAAGCAAAACGTGATGTTTACATAAATGATATATAAATTTTGCAAAAAAAAAAAGAAATTTTAAGTATAACTTAAAATTTTGTTTGTAATACAAAAATGTATTTAACAATATTTAAATGTAAATGAAAAGAGAACATTTGTAAAAGTTTTTAGAAAAAAGTAATAAAACAAAGTGCTATTTACTCTTTCTCTTTTTTTTAAAAAAAAAAAAAAAAAAAAAAAAAAAACGAAAAAAACACTTTAATACTTTTTCATCTTTATTATTTACAATTTTTTTCTTTTTTTTTTTTTAATTTTTTATATCATAGAGATGATTTAGCAGAAAAAGTTTACTTAATACGTTATTATCTTAATAATACTAATATTTCTGAAATGAAACTAAAAAGAAAATTTATTAATAATATTTCTCATCAATTTTTTCATCATCAAAATACATTTAGAAAAATTTTATCCTTATTTTTTAAAAAATATAACAAAATGCAAAATTTTAACTTTTAATCATATTTTTTTGAGATTGTATAAATTTGCTTTCAATTCATTCATTTTAAATTCAACAAACAACTCTAATGGAAAATAAGTAAATAAATAATAATTTGATTAATTATTTGAATAAATATCACAAAATTCAAAACTGACACATAAAAACTGACTTTGTAAAAATTCAAAATTTAAAAAAAGCAAATATTTTTATTTTAGATCTAAATTCAAAGCATTTTTTTTTTCTTTCTATTTCGTAGTTTATTACTGACTTTTTGAGTTTCTTTTTTTGTTCGAAAAATCTTTAAATTTAATAATATATCCATTGCCTTAAGTGTAAATTTCAAATCTTATAGAATTTTTTAAATTATGGAATTAATTCTTTTTTTTTCAGTTGTAAAATCTAGGATATATTTCTATTGATAAACTTTTTTTTTTTTTTTTTGTTAATTTAATCTGTGATATTATTTATAAATGTTACTTAGCATCAAAATGATAGATGAAATATTAGAAAGTAATTGAAATTATAAAAGTTATTAATTAAAAAATATATCGAAATATCACAACTAACCTAATTTATTCGTCCATTTTCATTTTTACTAAATTTCAATAAAATTAATTTTCATAATATATCCAACATTTTTGAACGATATTTTATCCTACAAATTTGATGTTTTTTTTTTCTTTTTTTTTTTTATTGTATAAGACATAACCAATATTTTGAAAAAATTTTCCTAATTATCAATATTTTAAATTTAAAAAATTTTATGTATATTTTAAAATTTAAAAGCGACATATTTTTACTTATACATTTTAAAATAAATTTTAAAATTTCGTACATATTTCAATTTACATTTTTTTTTTCTATTAGTTAGTCATATTTTAATCTTTTTTATATACTATTTACATTAAAAAAAATTGCAAAATTATACTTTAAATTAATTAAAATGGACAAAATTCATTGATGAAATGAATCTTTTTAAATAAGTTTTCCACTTAAATTTTTATGATATTTCTGTATAAAATAAAAAAAAAAAAGAGGGAAAGGGAAAGAGAGAGAGGGAGAGAGAGAGAGAAAATGTGAGATAAAAAAGGGAAAAAGAAAAAATATATTATATTAATATTTATTATAATATTAAAGTAAAAGTATTATTAGTAAGCGCTATTTTCTTTTTTTTTTTAACTTTCAAATTAGTTCCAATGAAAAGCTTTTTGGGTATTAAAAATTTTTTAATGTAAAATGAAAAAGTGAAGGTGAAAATTGTTACGGAAAAAGGTAAGGTAAGAGATGATGTGAGATAGATGAAAGGGTAAAAGCTGAATGGCATTGACAGGACCGCCACAGCCTAGCACGCGCGCATTTATCCTTCGTCCCTCTTCTAGGACTACATGTTATCATTGATTCATTCATACCATACCTTTTCTTCCTATTTCGATTTAATTTTTTCGTTTCAATTCATTCAAACATTAAATTATAGAAGAGAGAGAGTGAGGGAGAAGAGGGTAAAGAGGGAGGGAGAAAGAGAGAGAGAGAGAGAAAAACCCACAAATTTATTTGATATATCAACTAAATTATTTGATAATCATTTTTTTTTTTTTCTTCATTTTTATTCTTTTCATTTTTTGTTTACTTATATACATACTTACTTTTTCACATTGATAAATTTATAAATTAAAATTTTAGTGCATTCTGATATTTCAGTAATAATTTTAAAAATATTTGTATTTTGCTTAATTGATCAATTATTAATCGATTGACAAACAAAACTAAATGTGATGAAATTTAATCGATGATAAAATGTTATTTGTTTATAATTTATTTAAAATGTGAATAAAAATTTTTCAATGCTACAATTATTATTTCTACAGCAATTAGCTATTTTTTATGATTAAATAAATTAATTAATTATTTTTTTCAATTCTGATTAAGTACATGAAATTTATAAAATAAATTATTTAATTATTTATTGTATGTAAAAATTTTTTTCCTCTTTTTTTTTTCTGCAATTCATCTAATAATGATAATAACGTTTACATTTTATGAATTTATTTCCCTTATTTTTGTTATTTTTTGTCATTTTTTTAATTTTCATTAATAATTAAAATACTTATTAATAGTAAGTGAATTGGACATAGTGTTTATCAGTTTAAATTTGTAGTTCAAATACAATTATATGAGTAATGATTAGTAAAATGATCAATAAATTTAGTGAGGCAAAGATGTAAAATAATTAAAATGAAAAGAAATATTTTTTTTTTTTTTTTTTGAATTTTATTTTCTAGCAATTTTTATTTTTTACAAAACGTTTCATTTATGAGAAATTCAATCATTAATTCATATTTTATCATATAAAAGAAAAAAGAAAAAAGTAGAAAATAAAAACTCATAATTGAAAATAATAGTTATTATAAAATTTAATAAAAAAAAAAATAATTTTTATTAATTTCCATTTAAAATAATTGAAAATGTTAATTTTAATTTTCCCATTTTTTTTTTTTTTTTTTTTGAATAATTCAAACTTTTTATTTTCAGCAATTGTTCTTTTCTTTTTTTTTTCAAAATTATTTAATTTAAAATTTTTTTTTTCAGGTTTATTAAGCTAATAATGATATTATTCTAGCAAAAGAAAATAAGAAAAAGAGGACAAAGAAGAAGAAAAAATAAAAAGAGAAAAAAAAAAAACTAAAAAAAAAAAAACGAAGAAAAGAAATGGATGATAATAATGATCAAATGATGCATTCAACTGATACTGAATTACTTAGTTCAGAAGAGGAATTTGAATATTCAACAAATCAACAATCAACAATTTCATTTTCTGCTATATCTAATTTATTCCTAAATTCATGCTATTACTATTATGATTTATTCATGCAACAGCTTATCACACAATCATTATCAAATCAGCTAACACTACAACATCTAACTGCAATACCACTGTTACAGCTAGCTGAAATTGAGCAGTTAATTAATTCGCAATTAATTAGATCAGAATATTCACAGCTAATTACATCATCACAATTTATAAGAGAATTATTAAATTCTACATTATGGGATCAATGGTTATGCATATTAGCTAAATTATTAACACCAAATCAATGGCAATTGTATTGGATGAATTATTTGATGCAATTTGGTACAGTTGGCTTACCGCAACATTTAATTAACTTTTTTGCAACTGCCACTACAACTGCAAATTTAAATTTCACATCTAATTCAGTGCTAGCATTAGAAATGATGAAAGAAGCTAATTGGATGCATTTACAACAACAATTTTATGGTATGTACTTTTTGTTGTTTACTTTATTTTTTTAACTACTAATTTTTGTTTTTTTGTTTACTTTTTTTATTGATTTTTGTTTTTTTTGTTTACTTTTTTTTATCGATTTTTGTTTTTTTTGTTTACTTTTTTATCGATTTTTGTCTTATTTTTTTGTTTACTTTTTTTTTTTTTGCTTTTAAGTGTGTTTAAAATTTACTGAAAATTTTTTGAAAATATAATATACAGTATATTTTGATTTTACCACAATTAAAAAAAATTTTTTTCTTTTTTTTTTGGAAAAATTTTGAAGGTTTAGTAAGATAATATAATAATGTATATAGTTTTAAATTTAATATATTTTTTTAAAATTTTGGTATAAATTTTAGTATTTTAAAATTCAATTACTACAATTAAAAAAACTTTTTTTAATACAATTTTTTCTTTTGTTTTCAAATCTTCAAAAAAAAATTTTTTTTTTGAAAAAATGTATATTTTAATTTTGATACAATTAGAAGAAAATATGGGTAAACTTTAATTATTAATGATAAAAAAAACAAAAAAAAAGCAAAAAAAAAAAAATAGTTTTAGTAGTTAATGAAAATGGCAAAAAGTTTTTTTATGCAAATTTTAAATTTGATTTGAATTAAATTAATTTTTTCTCTCAAATTACATAATTTGAATTAAATTAAATTTTCCCCCCCGAACTACATTAATTAATTTTATACTAATTATGCTTTATTTTTTTTTTTCTATAATTTAATATTCAAAAATGTTTTTTTTTTTTTATTACTATCATGGAAATACTAAAAAATTTTCAAAAATTTTCAACAAATATGTTTACCAATCAGATTAACATTTTATTTTTTAAAAAGAAAAAAGGAGAGAGAGAGAGAGAGAGAATAGATTTTTCACTGTACTTTAAGCCATTATTTATTTCTCACCTGCCAGAAATAAATTATTTCGTTTAAAAAGTAGCTTTATGTGGTTTTTTATTTTTATTTTTACAATCAATGTTAGCTATTAATAATAAATGATATCGTTTTCTCTTTTTTTTTTTTCGAAAAAAACTTTTTCTTATTTTTTCTTTTTTATTTGAAAGCATTTTTAGATGAAATCGAATATTATATGATTAAGTAAGAAAGAAAAAAGTGAAAAAAAAGGCAGATTATAGATTAATTTGGATATTAAATTGTATATTTAATGAGTATTAACACCTAAATAATCACCTAAAATTTAATTTTAGTATTAGAATAATGTGAAATTTAAATGTATAATAATTTATGATATATCCATTTTTTTTACTTTCAACATCAATATTATATCAGTTATTACAAAATTTTCCTAAAATTTTATAATAATTTTTTGTAAAATTTTTTTCATTATTTTATTTAAGTCATTTATTTACTTATTTGTAGTTTATTATTTAGCATATTGATTGGTTTATTGTAATTTTCTAAACAAACATTTCAACTTTATATTTTTTCCTTACTTCTTTGCTTTTTTTTTTTTTACTTTTTGTTTTCTCTCTTTGTCTTTTTCATTTAAATAAGAAAGCTAATTTACCATTTTTTTTTTCTTTTTAAAAAGTAAGTTTTTTTTTTTTGTCGAGATTACAAATTTCTCATTTTTTTTGTCGAGATTACAAATTTCTCATTTTTTTTGTCGAGATTACAATTTTTTAAAAATTTTTTTTTTGATTATTTCAACTTTTTTTTTCCTTTTTTTTATCTTTGCTTTTTTTTTCAGTAGCTATTTTAGCTAACATCAAAAACTTTGTTTTTCTTTAAATAAAACTTAGCAATTAATTATAAATATATATATATTAAAGTATAGTTTGAAGCAAAGCATGCATATATCAAAATTATTGAAAAAGCAATAATATTTTCCAATATTATAATATACATTTGTTAACGTCAAACATCTATAAATTTGCATAAAATTTGATTATTTTAGCATTATTAATGCTTTTGCAATTACCATTAAAATTTATTATATTTCTTTCTTCTTTGAGCTATAATCGATTAATTATCACTTATAACTCACTTTTAATCTTTTCTCAACAAAAATTTTTATATCTTTTCAAATTATTTTATTTCTTTCTTTTTTTTTTTTTTTTCATATGATAATTTGGAAATATATTTTTTTACTATTTATCACATATATTTATCAAAAACAACACAAAATTTAACACATCATATATGTGATAAACAAAAAAATCTTTTTTTTCTTTTTTATATTTATATCAAAAAATTCTATTAGAATTAAGATTTAATTAAAAGTATTATTTAAATAATATTTAAATATACTTACTTACTTACCTATGCTATGTACTCATCCACCTGTAATATGCATTCGGCATAGGTAAATGGTAATTACTGTCAAACTTTACTTTTCTTTTTTATTTTATTTATTTACTGCAAATGATAAATATGTTTAGACAATCATTGTGAAACATTTAAAATGATAAATAAAATAAAATTTTGTTTGTTTATATATGAAACAATAATTTTTTCTTTTCTTTTTTTAATTTTAAATTTAGTGAATTTTTTTGTTGTAATAAATTAGCATTTTAACTATTATTACATAAATAATTGAAAAATCCATTAAAATTAATTCCAAAAAAAAAAAAAAAGTTACAAATTTAATAAATATATTTTCTTAATAATATTTACATAAATTATCAATTTTATAATTTTGCATTTTCTCCAAACATTCATTTATTAATGATAAATGGTAGAGATAAAAAATGTAAAATTTTATAAATTGAATAAATTAAATTAAACGATGAATAAATTGAGCAAATTAAACATTTATTCTTATTTATATATTTTATAAACTAATCTTTTTTTTTTTTTTTTTTTGCTGAAATAATCAATATTTGAAATAATTGATATGATAACAATATTTTTGATAGAATTACAAAACAAAAAAAGAGAAATTTGCATGAATTTAATAGTGTTTCATATGTTATCAGATGATTATCATTGAATAGTTTTATGATAACTTTAAAAATTGTCAACAAAATCTCTCATATGATTTTATTTATTCATTTATTTCTTCCTTTTTTTTTTTTTTTATTTTTTTATCTGAAACATTTTTTTTTTAAATTAAATTTTTAACAAATTTATTTCATTCTTTTTTTTCAGTATTCTTTTTTTTGTCTTCTTTTTTTCTCGCTTTTTTATTTGACTTTTGGTGAGAAAACATTAGCAAATATTTAATTCTATCCAATAAAATTCATATTTTCAATTAATTAATTTCTTTATTTGTGTGCAAATGAAGCTGTAAGGAAATATGTAGAAAAAAAAGGATCAAAATTTTAAATTTAATTAATGTAAATATATTGTTTGCTATTAATTTATTCATTATTTTAATATTTCAATTAATTATTTTTCAGTGAAATAGTCAATTTTCATTTTCAATTTCCTCAAAATTAAAATTTTAATAATAATTTTTTTTTAAACATAGTTATTTTCTCAGTTTTTTTTCTTAATATATATTGTATTTTTTTTTTCAATTTCTTCAAAAATAAAATTTTAATAGTAATTTTTTTAAAAAAAATAAATATACAAGTCGCATATAATACTGTAGTATATGTATATATTAAATTTTTTAATACTATTATAGATGAGAAACAAAATGAAAAGTATGTAAAGCATATATGATATATTATTATAATGATTGGTTTCGTTTATATTTAATAATATATCATTTTTATTGCTTAATCAATAAATTTGTTTAAAAAAAAAAGCAATTCAAATAATTGTAATTTAAATTTTAATTTATTAATATATATAAATTTAAATGCATTAATACATATAGAATTGCATTACTTATATAGAATGTTAACATATATATAGAATTTTATAATTGAAATCTCTTTTTTTTTTCTTTTCTCGTTTTCTTTTTGCTTAAAAGATTATTTACATTTTTGAATGAATTTTTAATTAATTGTAAATTGCATTTTGACACGCAATAATATTGCATTGCATTGTTGATATTATTGATAATTCATTGATATTTTATCATATCATACCAATATTTCCGGTGGAAAATGAAATGAAATGCAGTATGGAAGTAAGTAATTTATAATAAATTGATTTGATTGCAAGTAAACAGGAAGAATGAGAAGAGAGAAATAAAAAATGCATGCAGTACTGCTAAATGATTGCATTTGTTGCACAGCACGCCAATATATATTTGCTTGCAGCACTGTAACAAAAAATGCATTAATGATAATTGATATGATATCATTGAAAAAGAATAAAAAAGACGAAAACGAGAAAAAATCTTTGCAAGTTAAACAAAATAAAAAAAAAAGAAAAGAATTATCAAAATTGCTTAATTTATTAAAATTTCAAAAAATTAGCAAAAAAAATTTTTTATTGAGGATAAAAAGGAAGAATAAATGTATAAAGATTTGATTTATTAGAATGATAATATAATTAATAAATATTTTTCTAACTTAATAATTTATTTCTAAACTTTTTTATTATCAAAGTTTTTCTCAAATAAAATTAGTAAAGAAAATAAAGCAATTAAACAATAATGAGAGAAAAAAAATTTTTTTTTTTTTTTTAAATATAACAACTTGTTACTTTTTCTTTTCAATTAGCTTAAGCTATAATAATATTTCATTTTTTAAGCTTATAATTTATATGTTTTGTTGTGAAATAAATTTTACACAAACAATTTTATTAATCGATCATATCAAATTTTTTTGCAAAACAAAAAAAAAAATTAGATTTAATCTTTATTACTTATGTAGCGAAAATGTTATTAAATCATGAAAGCCTATCACGTATATACTTTATTAATATTTATAAATTTGCTTTCTATATATAAATTATGCTTCTACAATATTAATAAATAAATAATATTATTTATAAATATAATTTGTATACTACATAATATTATTTATAAGTATAATTTTAGCAGATGATTAATAATAGTAATGGCAATAACAGCAATTATAACGATAGAAGTAATAATGATAATAATAACGGTAATGATTATTGGTTAACAGCAATTATAACGATAGAAGTAATAATGATAATAATAACGGTAATGATTATTGGTGATGATAACGTGATTCTTTAATAATAAGTATTACTGTCATTATTGTTGCTATTATTATTAATATCACTATTATGATCAATCTTATTTATATTATTATTACTATTATGTATTTTATCTCATCATCATTATTATCATTGTTATTGCCATTATTATTATTATTGTTATTACCATCATTATTATTATTACTATTGTTATTATCATTATTATTGTCAATATTAACTGGTCACAATCGTTAAACAACAATGATAGGAAGGGATACAATATTGTTTATGCATGTAAAATTTTGGGTTCTATTTGGCATACATTATTAAATTTATACGAATGAATGAATGAATGAATTGAATTGAAGAATTGAATTGAATGAATGAATTGAATTGAAGAATTGAATTGAATTGAATGAATGTTATCTTAAAGAAATACATATATATGTTTATATATTTATATAAAATACATAAACACAAATATCTATTTCTGATATGTATATATATATATATGAACAACAAGCATATATAACTTAAGAATTGATGTTATGGCTAGAGATTCATCTCTTTCTCATCTTTCCTCTCTCTTTCCTGCTCTTTTTTCTCTTTCCCTCTCTCTCTCTCTCAGATAAAGCTAACTAAGCTAAACTGAAAGTGAGTATAAGTAAGTAAGTAAGTAAGTGAGTGAGAGAGGGAGGGAGGGAGTGAGGGAGTAAGGGAGTGAGTGACTAATTGATGATCGCCTTATCATCAAATCTAAGAAGTTGAGGGAATGAAAACACGAAGCTTTTTAAAATTTTGCTGCAGCATTTTCTTTACCGTTTTTTTTTCCTTTTTTCTTTTCTTTTTTTTTTTCTTCCATTTTTCCAATTTTTTTTTTTAAGATTTGAAAATTTAATATGCATAAGTAATATTTGAAGTAAAGCATTTATGATTATTTCTTTCTTATTTCTTTCATAAACATTCAATAACATTTAAATTCTATTAAAACTTTTGAGCAATTCTATAATTTTAATATTTCAAATATTTCACTATCATATTTTTATACGATTAGGTAATCAATTTCAATTATATATGATTAGACATATTATTATTATATTTCAAATAAAGCATTTATGATTATTTTTTTTTTTTTAAATTACATTTTAATCGCATTTAAATTTCAGTATAATTTTGAGAAATTTCATAATTTCAGTATTTCAAATATTACATTTCATATAGAATTAGATAATCAAGTATTTCATTATATATATATATATATATATATATATATATATATATATATACATATAAATTCTATTAAAATTTTGAGCAAATCTGTAACCTTTAATATTTCAAATATTTTTATTTCAATTATCATATTATGAATAATTCTCATTTCAAATATATTTTTTTTATCATATTGTGGATAATTTTTATTTCAAATACTTCATTATCATATTATTATATGATTATATGATAAAAATTTTATACAGAAAAGTTTTTTTTTTTCTTTTTTCATAAATTTTTATCTGTAAAAAAAAAAATTTATTATGTTAGTGATTAAATTATGAAAAATTTGATCTATTATTTTCAAATATATTCTTGAAAATTATTTGTTCTCTTTCATTGTGATTAATTTTTGTGAATTTATCACAGTTCAAAATAATCTAATTTACTATCAATTTCATTTGTTTGTTATTTTTTTATTGTTGATATGAATTCTATGCTAAATTTATCGTTGCATTTAAATTTATGAATTATTAAATAGAGTGATAAATTGATTTGTCTGTAATAAATAATTCTGTTAGTGAAGAGAAATGATCAAAAAGAAAAAAAAATGCTCTCTGTTTGTAATTATGAAGAAAAAAAAAAAATTTTTTTTTGTAAATTATATATTTCTTTTAATTTTACTTTTTTTTTTCATTTTGTTCAGTTCAAATTTGTTTCATATTAATAAATTATTTTAATATGTAATTACTTTTAAACTTATTATTGCTAGAAATTTTCTTCATAATATTCGCAAAGTGTCATTTTTGTAATTTTTAATGTTTACGAATTTTTTTTTCAAAAATTTATTTGTCGTATTATTTTATAATTTTTTTTTTTTTTTGATAATTTAGATCAGAAAGAAAAAAACGTTGTGGTTCAAATTTGGAAGAATTCTTTTATATTTAAAAGTGGAAGTGAAAACAAACAAACAAACAAACAAACAACCTGGAATACAATTATTTCAATTTATTATTTGTGGAAATTTCTATTCAACAGCACCTTTTTTTTTTCTTTTTCATTCCTTTTTTCATTTTCTTTTTTCTGAAAAGATAACGGAATTAATTATACTAATTAAATTAATTCAAATATTTTTTCTGCTGAAATTACTCTGAACGGGTTATTCAATTCATTTATTTATTATTACTTCTTCGCTTTCCTTTTTTTTTTCTTTTTTTCTACTTTTTTTTTTTTTGTATTGGTAACAGTCTTTCTGTTAATTTAATTCAAACTGAATTACTTTTAATTTATTTCAATAAGAAATTTATCTTACCTGAATTCAACACTGTAAATAAAAAATGGGTAACTCAGCAACAACTCAATCGAGGAGTTCAAAAACAACATGTCGTCGACTGAAACAACAAAATCATATAGGAAATGCTAATTATCATAAAGGTTAGTGATATTTTATGCTTAATTATTTAAACAATTAAATAAGTAAATATAAATTTGCATGTTATTAAACTTAAAATTTATTTGCTAAAATATTTTTGTTGTTTTTTTAAAAAAAAAAAAAAAAAAATAAAAACTATCTGGTGATTTATACTTAAATATTATCAAAATATTTAATTCTTCTAGCTGATAAAAGAAGGTTGATAATTTTTTTTGTGTGTGAATTATTTAATCGTATACTTTAAAAGTATATACAAGAAAAAAAAAAAAAAACAAACTTTTCAAACAGTTTAATAATTCAATAAAGTATTGTTTATTTACCTGTTAAATGTTACTGTTTGGTCTTTTTTGTTGTTGTTGTTGTTGTGTGTTTGTTTTTTGTATGCTTACATAGTAATTTTATTGCACTATTAAAAAATTTTCTTTAAAGATTTTTTTAAAAAAAAAAAAAAATAAAATAAGATAAAAACAAAGAATTGAGAATTGAATTTTAAATGAAATATGAAAATTATTCGTTGTATTTATTTTAAATTCAAATTTTTATACAATTTTATAATTTAATAACGTTTAAATTTTTAACACTAATTGTAAAATTTAATTTACTAGGTAAATAAATTTGTAATTCTTTATTGAACCAGTAATAACTGATGTCTGCAAATTAAAACTAAGTGATAAAAAAAAAAGAATTTAAGCAGTAAATTAAGTGGAAACAGTTGTGTTGCTAACAAATAACATCAATAATAGCATCGTCAATAAAAAAAAAGTGTTGTAAAGCGGTGTTTGCAGATGCGTAGTAATTCTATGAAATGTAAATTCTAAGGAATTTATTTTTTTTTTTTTTTGCTAAAAAAAAAAATTTGAAACTAAATTTTTATTTTACAAAATAAAAAGTATTTCTAAAGTAGCAGAAATTTGTTTTTTAATTTTCACTTAAAAAAAAAAAAAAAAAAAGAAAGAAAGCAAACTAAATAAAACACAAATTATAAACAATATTTGTTTATTAATTTTTATTTTTAATCTTTATTAAATTATTACTAATATTTTTATTAATAATATTTATTTTAAATCATTTACTCCTTATCATAATAATTTCATATATTTGTTCATTTACATTTCTTTTGCATCAAAAAATAAAAAAATAAAAAATTTATTTAATAAAAAAAAAAAATTGAAATACAATTGATATTATTATTGTTGTATTTTATTGCAAAATTAATGTAATTCAATTAGAAATTATAATTGAGAATAAAAATAATATTCTTCGGTATTAATTATCATTTAATTTGTTGTATTTTTTAAAAAATATTTCTGTTTAAATGATAATTAATAAAAATTTCTAAAACAAAATTAAAAAAAAAAAAATAAAAAATGAAAGTTGAAAAATGATTATTTTTCAACAAACAAAATGCTTAAAATAAATATTAGTAATTATAATTGCGAATTAAAATGTTATTCTTCAGCATAAATTATCATTTAATTTATTATATATTTTTTTAAAAATATTTCTGTTTAAATAATAATTAAATTAGAAAATTTTTCGAAAACAAAATTAAAAGTTATACAATTATGTGAAAAAAGAATAAAAGAATATTTTCAAATATTGTAAATTTTTAAGAAAAAAACAAAACAAATAATTTTTTTTTTCTTAATTAAATAAAATTTAATAGCTAATAAATATTTTAGTGTAATCAAATTATGGTATAATTTTAAAAGTTGCTAAAATTAAAATATAACTATCATATGATAAGAGAGAAATGAAAAAAAAAAATAAAATAAACTATTAAAAGTTGAAAAATGTTTATTTTGCAACAAACAAAATGGTTAAATTCATATTGGAACAGTTGGTATGGAAAAAATTTTTTGGTTTTAGAAACTTTTCACATATTATCAATCATCTTATCACAAATAACAATTCAAATGATAAAAATTTTAATCTAATAAATGAAATAAATGTAAAATTTTATATAAAAATTATAAAAGTACTATTCATTTTTTTTTTTTTTTTTGCTACAATTTAATAAAATTAAATAATAAGTTTTAAATACAGTTAAATAATAATTTATTAGAAATAAAAAGTTAATGAGCAAAAGTTAAATGATTAATTTTATATTTCATTTAAAAAAAAAAAATTTTTTTTTTTTTTACAACTTAATATAAGTAAATAATAAATTTTAAAATTAATTGATTAATGATTTATTAGAAAAGTACTTACTGAGTGGAATTTTAATGATTATTTTATTAATTTTCTATGAAAATTTTCTTTTTTCCTTTGCTGTTTCTGTTTTTTTTTTTTTTTTTTTTTTTAAATATTTTATTTAAATATTTTTATAATATTTGAATAAATAAACAATTCTTTATGATTATTTATCGGAAATTAATTTCATTTTATTCACTTTTTTTAGAAAAAATTCGAAATATTTTTTCTCTTTTTTCATTCTTTTTGCCTTCATTAATATTTTTTCTTTTTTCTTTTTTAAAAAAGTTTTCGTTTACTTTTTTTTTTTTTTTTTTTTTGACTATTTTCTTACTTACCCATCCATTTGGTTAATTTATGAACTTATCTAACCAGGAATGTAATCTGGTTTTCCTGGTTTTACTTTTTTGTGTTTCATTCGAACATTCTTTTTCCTTTTATTTTATTTCATTTTTTTTTTTTCTTTTTCTTTTTGTTCACCGTATGTTTTTTTTTTTTTTTTTTCATTTTGTCCTATTAAAATAAACTTTGCTACATTGAAATATAATTTATCATTTTCAAATAATAATTTTAAATGAGAAAAGAAAATTTAAATGAAAGTGAAGAAAAAAAAAGAAAAACGAAAAAAAAAAAATTATAAAAAGTAAAAAAAAAAGTTAATATTATATTCTGAAAAAAGAAAAAAAAAAGAAAAAAAACAAGAAAAATTATCTTTTTATTTTATTAATAATTATAAAATTTCATCAAAAATTACAACATTTTTTTTTATAATTTTTTTTTTTTAATTTTTTTTTCTGTTTTTTTCTGTTTTTCTCTATTTTTTTATATTTTTGAATAATTTATACTTATTAAATTAAATAAGCATTTATTCAATTATTACTTAAC